CAGAATCAAATTTTCCCAAAAAAGTAAAAATCCTCCATACTATATAGAAAAAAACACTAAAATAAGGAAAATATTGAGTAAGAAGAAGATAATGGCTAGTGAGCCATGGCGACGGGCGGCGGCGGAGCGGCGCAGTGGATGCTTCTCTGGTTCGGCACCGCCAGCATCGCCGTGTGATCCAAGAAATCTTTGAGCTCCACCGTCGACTGTAAAACCGTTCTCAGATCGTCGGCGCGAGAGAATCCCAAGTTTCCGGCTCTCCTCACGGCGTAGATGTAGAAAGTTATGCAGCCCTTTCTGAACTTGAACCGCGCCATTTCGCAGCCGCTCAGCCCTTTAATCAGCTTCTTGTGCACCTCCCCGAGCGGAATCTCCGGCGGCCACTGGCGGTCCACGGCGGCCTTCATGGATTCCGACTCGAACACGAATATAACCACCTTCGTCTTCTTCGTCCCCAGGCCGAGAGTGAGCGTGTGCCAGGCCTGGTGGGCCAGGATCGTGAAATTTGTCGGCAAGAAAGCGGTGGTGGAAGGGAAAGGCGGCTTGGCGGCGTCGAAGGGCGACGGCGGAAGCGCGAGGAGGCGGAGGAGCTCCGGCGGCCGCGCGCGGCGGACGGTGAAGGATTTGACGATGAATTGGCCGCCGAATCTGAGACCCTTTACTTCGGAAGAAGGCTTGAATGCGAAATCTGAGGTGGTTTTGGGGGGTTGATCGGTGGCGGGGTGGTGATTTTTCTGTTTCTTGCTTTTCTTTTTGGTGTCTTTTCCTTCGGCCATGGATTCCGGCGGTGGTTCCAGTGAGGCGAGGCTTGCGTTCTCTGTTATCGCGTTCGCGTGATAATGTGATATGAAATGAATACAACAAAATAAAAAATAAAAAATAAAAATCAATACGGATTATCTTTTGGGATATGATGGTAAATTAGTATCTTTAAATATTATTTTTTTTTTAGAAAAAAAAAAAAATCATCCCATATTTCACTACTACGATAATAATTCGAATGCCTGATTTAGAATTCTTTACTACAAAATTTCATTTTTTGATTTTGTAACTTTATAATTGTATTAACAGCTCGCTTAGAGCTGTCAAAACGAGTTTAGTCCGGACGTATAAGTTCGTATTAGAGCGGGTTTTTTAGCCTGCCCCCACTTGTCCATGGGCTAGGCGAGCTAGCTCGTCTTTAAAAAAAAATGAATAAAGACTAATTTAAGAGAAAGATACGCAGCCGACCAACCCTAATTGTTAATTCTCTAATCCTTATTTTGCAGTATTAGATTACGATAATCAAATTTCAATTTCGCGGAAGAAAAAATAGTGCATATCCTAAAAATATATGATAGTTTGGATAATTTACTATCAACTTATAAAAATAGTTCAATTATATTGTTCACCACGAGTTAATTTAAGAAATGACAAATTTAATTATTATTAATACTCTCTTTTCACTGATCTCAAATTGTTAATACTCTTTTGATCAAATTAATTGTGTAAAATTTTATTAATGCAATTTGTTTTCTTTTGTGATTTGCAATCTATAATAAAGAAGCATAGTTTACTTCATACACTATTAAAAAATACTCCCTCTGTCCCATTTTGCATGTCTTACTTTCCTTTTTAGTTTGTCCCAAAATGTTGTCCTCTTTCCAAAATTGAACATCACCATCATTCTACTTTTTCCCAAATTACCCTTATGACTTTTGCTTTTATTTCCAAAAGTGAAAAAGTGAAGGGCATAATTGGAAAATACATAACATTTACTTTAATTCCTTAAAAAGCGTGCAAAAAGCAAATGAGACAACCAATTCGGGACGGAGGGAGTAACTATTAGGAATTTAGGATGGGTGAGCAATAAGTTATAATCTTTGAAAATTAGTATTTATATTTAAATAGTTATATATATAAAACATGAAAATTGGTTGACTTGTGTATTTGTATTTTGAAATTCCCCCTTTTTATTAAATAAAAAATAAAAAAAAAATTGAAGCAAGTTGAACTCATGGGGTAGGTTGGAGAATGGGCCACACAATGATGACAGGAGTCTCGTGATAATGCCACTGCCCACTGCCAACTTTAGTACGCATCTCTATTTTTTTATTTTTATCTAAAAAAAAAAAAAGCACAAGAAGATTAGATGAATTAAACTTGATCCAATAATAATAATTAGAGCAAATGATGCTTTTCTCCATAAACAGTGGCCTTATTTGACAATGAAAACTTTTTGTTTAAATAAAGTGTTAAGGGTGTTAATTTTGTGTGATTATATTCATTTAATTTGGCGTGAAACATCACTCCATGTCCTAAACTATGAATAACTATGATGTCGATTCATTTCCAATGTGGTTTTCGTTGGCTTCCTAATGTATTTGTTATGGCAACAGCGGTCTTGTACTATGTTTGGCGAGCAAGGATTCCGCCCTCGTCGTCCAAGCGTGGAACCAGGTTCGGGCCCAATTCAGACGGCTTTAGGCCAGTCAGCTTCCGTCGCTCCCAGGTGCTTCGTCGACGCGGGCTTCCATGCGGTTACAGGGAAACCTACGGTGGGAGTCGTGCTCTTTACTCATGATGGCGGCTTCGATGCGGCTTTCAGTGATTAGTTACCGGATTGCCTCTCCCCACTCATGGCAGAATCTATGGCGTGCAAGGAAGTTCTGTTGTGGCTCAAGAATCACAGGGTGTTAAATGTTGAGATTCTCACGAACTGCTCGAACCTTCAGAAGTATTTGTTAGCACTTAGCAAGGACCATCACTCTTCGTTCTTATACGGGCTATATTGTTGATGAATGCAGATCTATCATGTCCTCTTTTGTTCATTGTTATGTTAATTTTGTCTCTAGATCAGCAAATTTAATTGCTCATACTTTAGCTTCTTCAGCGCTTAGTCTACCTTTATGTTTTTGGATTCTATTCCTCCCGACTCTATTTTGGTTTTTCTTCTTTTAATATATCCTACCTTATGGTTTGCTTTCAAAAAAGTGTTAAGGGTGTTTTGGGCTTTTTGAAAATTAGCGTTTTGAAATCAAACTGCTGATTACCAAAGTTTCTATAGCATTTTGACCATGTTAAATTGTTAAAGATGGTCAAATTTGTCAAAAATGAGGGAATAAAGCTGTTAACCAAACAAGTAACTAAAATTCAATAAAATGCTTTGGAAGCATATATTTATGTCTAACTTAATACTTTTGGTCTTTGAATTATGGGCCAAATCTATTCGACATAGAAAGTACTTTTTTGGACTTGGGCATTAAACAAGGGTCATCAACAAAACCGAAAGCAACAACAAATCCAATTATTATTGTGTAGACCAACATAGTGGACCATACTATCAATAATATACATTTAATACATAAACAATATATTTTTAATATTCAAAATACAAATTATATTTTTTTAAAAATACATTATTTAAATGCTAAAAGTACACAAATAATGTAATTTTAGTATACTAAAAATATACTTTTTTGTTATGGTCATATAGCTGGAATATAATTTGCTCAACAAATCACACCCAAATATTATTATTATTTTTTTAAAGGTAACTTCTATCCTTTTAATGACTGCTTTTTTCAGTTCTAAATCTGAAAAAAAAAAAAAAAAAAAAAAAAAAAAGCAGCAGAAAATGCATAACTTAGAACTGATATCATCTTTTCACTCTTAAATTTTATTTTTATTTTGCTGACTGAAATAACAGTCACCGTGAGAACATTACAGATCCCACTGGTATATATAATAACAATAATAAATCACCAACTATATTGACTACTACAATTCACAATTGAATAGATAAAAGGGAAAAAGACATTATTCCCAGACCTGAGAAATTGACCAAAGAACATAAGAAAAAATATACTGTATTATAGTATATTATAGTATAGTACCTCTCTATCTAATGAATAATGCTCCATTCATTTTGTTGAGCACCAATCAGATTAGTGGAATACCATATTGTTGTACTGCTCTGCTGTATAGTAGTGGGAAAATCAACCAGGAATTGCATAAACCTCAGGGTCTTCTTTCTTCCGTGGTTTAAAGTCAAGAAGATGATGAAATTCTATTTATGTATGTATATATAAATCAACTTCATTGTCTTGGATCTCTTGATGTCAGGTATAATGTGAAACTGGTTTTCTGTTTCTTGTCCAGAGAACTTATTCAAAATAGGGAAAGAATCACCTTGTTGGAGTTTTATTGGGGATCTCATAGAGCCAGGAAAGAGGGTCGCCTCCGCCTCCCGAGGTTCAGCCGTGGCCTGTCGCTGTTTACAGGCCTGAGTATACGTTCTACTTCAGTATTGGGTTGGAGTGTGGATTGCAGTCGCTTTAGATGAGGTACGCACTGTATGTGATGGGAAGCGAAAGATCGGATCATGTTTGGATTGTCGGGGTTGAACTTTCTCTGGTATATAGACTCCCACTTTGCTTGCAAGTAAGCGAAGGATCTCCATGGAGGAAGCGGCATTAAGTTCTGCTTGAGAGATGATTTGGCGGCTTCAACCATTACTTGAAGATACTGTTTCAGCTTTGTCAGAGTGCCCACATAAATGACTGGGAGAGAATCCAATATTCTATTGTATGATTCGACGGCTCTAGCAATTTCAAAGTGGCTACGGAAGTCAATATCAATGATCACACGCTCTGAGTTCCCAGCACTGTCATAATAATTAATGACATCAATGTATTCATGCTCCCCTGTATATACAGGAAGGAAATAATGACACTGGTCAGATAACACAAATTGATTCTCCATTGCCAAGATATAATTTAGTTTCAAAATCCAATATTTAAGATTTTTTATTTTTTTTTGGTATACCCAGGGTTTCCACCGTCGGACACGGTGACTAATCCCCTCGTGGAATAAGCTGGATTGTAGGCACCTCTTTTGGGTGGGACAGCTGGCCTGGAGATTTAAGGTTACTCCATACCTAAAAGCCAAGGATCGAACCCTTAACCAAAGGTTAAGGATAGATGAGTCCCTTCCACTCAACCACACCCCAGGTTCCTAAGATATGTAAGAATAAGTCCTAGCCAAGATTTAGCAACAGTGTATACCTCCGGGAACCTTGCTATGGCCTTGCCACTTTGAAACACAAACACCAGCATCATAGCCCGAAAGCCTCAAGAGTTTCACCAAAGAATATCGGATGCAGCTAGCATTGCACTTGCCTGACTTGACAATATGGAGGTCTGCTTCATTAATAGACAGCATAAGTGAATTAACAACCGAAAGCAGGTCACTCTGATATTGATCAACAGCTGACTTCAAATTCTGCAGAAACATAAAGACCCAGCCAGTGAGCATATTCTCCTCTAACAACTACCCCGGGTTGCACAAATCACAAACAAGTTATTACTTTTCCTACACAAGAATGGTGATATTTGTTGAAATCACAACATTTATGAGAACATATGAGCCTACAAGTTAAAAACAATAGGCTACTTAGTCTAATATTCAGAATCTGAATTAAGGTTCTCCTCCGACCTCCCAAAACACTAAAAATAGAGAACGCAATTCTTTGGAGTATATTAACTAGAAATGAGCTTTTAATGCTGGATGCTTTGCAGGGGTGGTATTGTTATCAAAGTATTTACTTCTTCCTTGACCAAGTCTATACAAAATAAGAAAATGGGACAAATTAACAACCCACTAGGTCACTACCCGGCATGAACAAGAAAACTCAAATGGTTAATCTATCATCTCTGTGGACAAGAGAATTAGTCTTATTCAGTCATAATAAAGCTGTAATCGAACGTAGCAGAAGAAAGCAGTTTCATTTCCTTTGCCAATGCAGCATCTAATATATTCATATTCTCATCTACACAAACATTAAACTAACAGCAAAACTCAAACAGACAGCTAGATATCTATGAACAGGGCTTCAAAATGTGGTCCTGAAAACTTTTAGCAGCAAAGTTTGTACATTTTAATTATGAAGCAATATTTTCTATCTTATCATTGAAAAGGTCAAAGAATTGAACATTTAAAATATGAAGCAATATTTTCAATCTTCATCATTGAAAAGGTCAAAGAAAAATTAGGTTTCCAATTCCAACTTAAATTCTGTAAGACTGATCAATCAATTGTCTGCCATAACTGTTGCATGTTTGGAAATCCATGAATTAAAAAGGGTGTTGAACACTAAATTCTGAATCAAAATAACAGTAAAATTAATTATCCCAATCCAAAATAACAAATTAGTTAATAATATTCACAATAATGAAAATACTAACCGAGATTTTGTCGTCAAGGTGAGCAAGTTCGCAGAAACTGGAGTCGCTGTCAGTGCTACAGCCGGAGTCCGTCCCGGCACTTCCAGTCTCCAGGAAATCTCTCACCATAGCCGCCAAGTCATTCTCGCTTTCATGGCTGAAACCATCCGCCATCTGCATTAAACCTCCAACACGTCCACCGCTTGCTCCACCACCCCTCCCCACCCTCAACCACCCGTCAACCGCCGCAGCATAAACCCTACAGTCCATCCCAATACCAGCACCACCAATTTCCTCTATTTATTCCCCCTTTTTTTCAGTTTTTATGTTTCATTTCATCATTTTTACTACAGAAATCCAAGCAAAAACTCGAAATTAAGATAGTATGGATTAAACAACCATAAATATCCACTAAATTCCCAATCCAAAATCCAAAACAACGATAAATTTGACCAGATTCTGGATATTAATCAAGCAGGTATAGCCTCAAATCATCCAAAACTTCAGATTGTGCAGCCAAACAAGCTAAATTCTTCTCCGATTGAACAATAGTAGAAATCAATGGAACAATATAATCCAATTATCAGATTAACAACAACGTATAAATTCAAAAAAAAAAATGTGTCTAATAAATTGGATATAGATAGAAAATTAATTAAAATTTTCGGGATAGAGAGGGGATTAAAATGATCCAAAGGGATTAGATAAGGAAAAATGAGGAAAATAAAATCCCAGAGGACGCCCATGATGAGGAGGAAGAGAAGTTTAAATAGAATACAAGAGGGTCACGGAAATGACGAAAAAGGGCCTCGGGTTTTACCGTAATGCCCAAGTAATATGATCGCCTTTAACGGGATGCTCGCGGATAAACGGAAAACGGATAAGTTGGGGGATTGGGAAATGGATCTGGACGGAAAGTACGGGAATATTCGTACTTGGATTCATTTTAATATTATGACCCCTGAGCTGGAATTTTTTGAAGGAATGCAACAACGATGCTAATTTTAGTATTTTATTCTTATTATTAAATATATATTTTTACATTAAATGTGATTTTAATGTACAAATACTAGAATTTGTGATAGCGTGAAGTACAAGATTGATGATCCCTAATTACGTTAGGGTGTGTCATTTATATTAAGTTTATCTGTTAGCGTCATGATAGTTTGTAACAATTGGGTTTAACATAACATATTTTATTTGGTAGAGTAGGAGAATTGATCAATTTGTGACATAGCTCATCAGATAATGCATCAAACTACAACAAGCCATCCGAGTAGCTAAGTAGGCGTAAGTCGGCCTACCTATGTTAGCTAGGTTAAGTGTTGATGGTTAGTCTTCCCAATAATTGTCTAGTCGACTAGGTTCCTCAAAGTTTTTGGTTTCGTAAATTTATTCTTATATGTTTATTGATAATATTATTGGGTTACTTGAGTTGTCATGTAATTCTATCAAAATCAATATTTTTTTTTTGAGTTTTTTCATTTCTTTAAACAAAATAGAGAGTCAATTCAATTAATAAGCTCACCATTATCTAGTTTATTGGTAATTTGGGAAATCGAACATATATATGTGAGTGTGCGCACACGTGTGACAAAATAAACTCGCATCATTATACAAATGTATATATATATTGGATTATATAAATAAGTTGTTTTTTAAGTACTAGTGACTGCGCTTTCAAAAAAAAAAAGTACTAGTGACTGCGTTACAATATAATATTTATTTATGTATATTTTTTTAATTTATTGAAGCACACAAAATTTGACATTCTATTTTGAAAAATCAAAATTATGCTGCTCGATTACAAGTTGTTTTGCAAATAAGTTGGTTATTTAAGAAAGAATCAAAACAATAGATTGAAGGTGGAGAGACGACTTGACTACGTTTACTTCATTACGTCTGAGCCACCTCCGGTTGACCCCACATTACGTTATTGGCCGGTGACCATGCAAATAAGAAATTGGCCACTAGTCCTGAATTCCTTGTGTTTCTTATTTTTCACCCCCAAGTATCGGTTTTATATTATTTTAGGCATGTGTCTATATCACATCCAACCTATCACACTATGTCATCAAAAAACCAATATTAATACTCCTTCCAACTCAATTTAGTTGTCAATTGTCCAACTTGATTAAATTATATTATTTTAATTTAAATATTATAAATCATGATTGCAATAAGTTATATGATGAGATGCACAATCAAGTATTTTTAAGTGTATAACTAACAAATTGTCATTATATTTTTCATTAATTTTTATCTATGATTATTCTAGATGGATGAATGAGATTAGTTACACATTTTCACGATGCATATATATATATATATATATATATATATATATATATATATATATATATATTACATGAATTATTATCAATTATTCCAAAAGTGTAGTTTAATTAAAACTATAAATAAATATCTAATTTAGAATCTAAAAATTTTATATAAGTCAATATATAGCTGTAAGGTTCAAACATAATCATAAAGAGGTGTTTGGTAAATAATTGTTAACTGATTGAGTTATTGGGTTTGACTTGTTGATAGCATTATAGCTGATTGTATAAACATGTTTGATAAATTAGTTGTTTGCTGATAGCTGAATACACAAGTAACGTAGAAGTTATAAAACTCAACTAGAGTTCAAGTGACACTAATCAACTCAAAAATAAGTTCATAAGTTTTGTTTTACTAATAATCGCGATATACAAAGTTCATAATTTATCTCCTATAATAGACTATTAAGTTTGAGATTTAAACTTATAAAACTCAACTAAAAACTAAAACAGTTAGACAGGTCATGTTTAAGTACGTCTTCCCAATTCAAACGTGGTTTGTTTTGCAAATGATATGATGCATGTCTAATTTTGCCAAACTGCATAACAGCATATATAGTATAATTCGGTTGGTGAACCGTCTCCCCATAACTAACATATTTTGTGTGTTGGAGTCCTTGTCATCTTGTGGGATAATGAAAATATTTTGGATCGATCTCATTTTTTACAACTAATTATGTTCGTGTTAGGTAATATCTTTTAAGGATAGTAAAATATGTCTTTATATATTTTTAAGTAGTTATATTTAATAAGTTTAATCTCAAGATTTCTGATTATATGTTGTAATTTTGTTTTGTCATTAATAAGAGTCTAATAAGTCATCGAATTATATAGGGAAAAAACTTCGAAGTCCGATGATTAGGGATGAAATTATTAATTATACAATGTTTATTAGGTGCATGTGTGGACCATATCTGAAATACATTATTTTTATGCATATGGTACATTATTTTCTATACATAAAGGTACATTATATTTCTATGCATATGATACATTATTGTTAAACGTAATGTTCATTATTTGAATGTGTACAAAATAGTATGAAAACAATTGAATGTTCATTATTTATATGAATAAGATTCACTATTGATGTGCATATGGTTCATTACTTGAGCATAAATAAGCTGATTGAATCTTGATTATTTATGCATGTATATTCTAGGTCCATTTTTGTTGTACATGAGGTTCATTATTTGTAGAGCATAGCTGGACTTATTCGACGCACTACATCTCCTCTACTCAGAAATTTGATATTAGATAAATCTAGGTTCACTATTTGTATGCCTAAAATTCAATAATTTGTATGAATGTGTTTTTATGCTATGTTTTCAAAATTCAGCTATGTAGACTATAGTACAAAGTAAAATTTTTCAAATTTATATACTCCTTTTTTTTAATATGACTTCTAAAAACTATTCAAAAGCCGCTACCCGATTTTTAAAAGAATATAATTGAACTTGTAATCTTCAGGTACGACAATATATATTATATCTCTACCTGTTGGCAGCTCAGCTGATCACAAAGTTAAAATTTGTAACAAGAGACCAAAGATCGATCGAGTCCTACAAGCAATAGTATGGGAGCAACCTCTCAAATGAGAGGGCTCCTTGTACACAGTGAGCAAAAGTTTAATATATGTTGAATTAACAGTCAAGTCACATGACTTTCAAAAAAAAAAAAAAAAAAAGAAGAAAAAAAGAACAGTCGAGTCACATTGATTTATCCAGCCTTCAGCAATTTTGTCGGGCCGGAGTGTGAATATGCTTCGGGTGGATGATTTAACCGTTTATCACCTATCAGAATAATATATACCTCTAAATTAATAGTAAATTACACATTTATATTTTATATATTATATGTTGAATAGTTGTAAAGCGAGACAATACAAGCGGGAGATGGGGACCAACAAGAAACATGGAACATGCTGGCGGGTTCCGTTAGTTTTACGTAGATATATAGGTGGTTATGCATGCATGCATATCCGATCCACACCTAACCCAAGCTGGAATATGATGTACTTCTAGTGAGGACATCCATATGCCACACAACTATAACATTAACATCTATTCCAAATTGTCCATCCATATATGGACCACTTCATTCAATTGTTCCCTTTGCAACATGATAGTATATGCATGGTTTAAGATGGTACTATACAATTCAATCATATATATATATATATATATATATATATATATATATATATTACCTCTTTTTGTCTAAAAGAATAAGCTGATAAATGGCCCGCACGGGCTTTAATCAATGGTTCAATATGCAGTTGGTAGAAGAGACCAATGTTCGAATCTCGGTGGCTGCAGTGTGGGGATTATGTCTAAAGTTGATAAGTTTCTTGTGCTCATGGACATTTGGTCATGTTTGTTGAACCATAAAATTAGCTAGCTTGATGATTATAAGTTTGAATTTTGTAGGAGTTGTCTATATGGCTTTATTGGTTTGAGATATCTTTTGTTGACTATGATCACAATGCGAACTTCACTTATAACATATATTCGAATAGTGGGTGCGAGCTTTTACGTAAAGATATTATATACATATTCATTTTTAGTATTGTGGATAGAGTATGGATCAAAATGATGAGACTAGGTGAGTTGGGCTAGAGGAGCTAGCGATATACACTAGTACAGAAACAGTCATTCGCGTCCAAATTAAAGTTAAGGCTAATTCGCGTCCAAAGTAGCTGGGACGCAGATGTCGGGGACGCTGATTGTATAAACAATTAGCGTCCAAAGTAGCTTTGGACGCGCAAAATAATTATTCGCGTCCAAAGTTGAAGAACTTTGGACGCGTCCAAAGTTGAAGAACTTTGGACGCGAAAAATGATAATTCGCGTCCAAAATTCGTGAACTTTGGACGCGTATAGTGTTTATTTATTTTTAAAAAAAATACTATACGCGTCCAAAGTTTCTGAACTTTGGACGCGTATAGTAAAAAAAAACTAAAAAAAAAAAATATTTTTTTTATAAAACTACCAATATTTTCCTCTACATCCCAGCGTAACTACCAAATAATATATTTCAACATTAATCAAATATTTTCCTGTACATTACAGCATAACTACCAAATAATATATTTCAACATTAATCAATTTAAGATTTACACTACACACCAATTCTATCAACTACAACACACCAATCAAAAATTTCAATTTTAATAACATTTTACTACAAATAAACTACAAATTCTAAATGTTAACAATTGAAATAAACTACTAACCAAATTCTAGGTGAACCTGATGAACTCCTTGGTGAAAGTGGAGGTGCACTTCCAGCAGGAAACATAGAAGGCAAAGAATTGCTTGTGGAAGAATTACTGCTTGAAGAAGTTCCTGAGACATTTAAGGTACCACCACCCTTGGCATTAGAAACCAGATTTTTTACCTGCATGAGGAAGAATTGGATCCAAGTACATTATTACAAGAGAGGTCCAGAAAAATACAAACAAGAAATAAAGAGCACAAGAGAATTTCTTCTAGAATCAGAAGTGAAGGTCATACATGCCTACAATAATATAAGCATTGGTGGCTTCTGTGTCATTGAAAAGTTTGGATCACCTGAACATGGAATAAATTCTTAAAAGAACTGCACACATAGATTGATAGACTCAAATATCAATAAACATGTGTTTAGCATAATAATAATAATAATTTAATAGCAAAACAACCACGACTTAGTGCCATTTTGGTAAAATAGAGTAATAAGAACAAAAAGACTTAGTGCAAAACAACCAGAATAGGTATTTGATTCCCTTGTCTGCTCAGATAATAAGAACAAAAAGACTTAGTGACATTTTGGTAAAATAGAGTAATAGACTTCAATAATAAGGAGAGAAGAATTACTAATAGTTTCATAGATCAATTGCATATGGACCCAAGTAATAGAAGATTATGAACAGATTTTCAAAAAATAATAAGGTAAAAGGTAGTCAGAATTGAGATAAATACCTTCATCATCATTTCCCTAGCTAAACCGTGAATACATTTTCAGGCTTCACACAATTTATAGAAGAACAAGTGTAGAATTCTTTAACAAGTGTAAACATAAAAAGCAAATATGAAGTATAACGAAATTTTTAACAAGTCAGATACTCACAGAGATATGGAGAATGGAGATTGTTTGAAGAATTGAAGTTGCATATTAGTTACCTTGTGTAGAAATCCTGGATAAGTTCTCGAATCTCAAGTACCAACTCTAAAAAATTTCTGAAGTTAACATTGTCTATAACTTATTAGTTACCTTCTTAAATTCAGGGAGAGAAGACACATCTTCAGCCTCTTTCCCCTGCAAAGTGAACTTATTAAAGTGCCATTTACTGGATGCTTTTACTCTCTGCAGAGTTGCTTAAGCTTGAAAAATCTATTGTCATTACCTCCCAATCAAGAACAGTGTCTCTAAGCCTGGCACCACAGTCTGTGTTTGTACAATTTCGTGATGTCTCCTTCAGTCCAATAGTTTCTACTTCAAAGTCTCTCATATACCTTTAGATGTCAAATTCATTGAATAAATTCCGAGGAGTGATGAGCATGTGGTATCAAAGGACAAGCACGAGAGCAATGAAAAATGCATAACCAAATTAGTAAAAGATCATTAAAAAATAAAGAGTCACGCAACCTAGAACAGGATGCTAATTATAAGGACAGAAATTGCAAATAAATAGTAAGCCTTACTCAACTCCACAAGAAGGACATATTTCCATGAACGAATCTCCATGCAACTCAGAATTTGGACAATCAAGCAAAAACAATTCTTTACCTTTCTTGAGCAGCAGCATATTAGACCTATTTAGCCTCTTTACCTTTCTTCTTGAGACATCTTTGCACTTGAAGATGGAACTGATTGAACAAAATCATTTTTCTGTCCTTAACAGAGCAATACAAAAGGCTAATTATGTGAAGCATTCTTCTGTCCCCCACTTAAGATTTTAATCTGGAATAAGTTACACTAGTTTCACCAAACTGTAAACATATTAAAAATGATAATTAACCAAGATGAGCTTTCACAAAATTATAACCACTTTCTGTTTAGCTCACTTCCTGGTAAACTAAAGGAAAGCCACAGACCACTAATATCTCTTGTATGCTACTATCTACCACCCTGCCACTATGAAGCAATTCCCACAAACCACAGCTATACGAATCAGAATCTCTCATCACATCAAAGTGACTTCAATTCAAACAGCACTGCGTACTTCCTTCCGGCCAGAACAATACAAGTCCCTTATATGGGCATATCCACCAACAACAACAGATCTGAGCAGGATGATGGATTATATTTAAGAAGAAAAGCAGAAATAACAACAGATCTGAGCACGAAACATTGAACTGAGAAATAAACATAAAGAAAATAGAGAGAAACCTAGATTAAAGGCTGAGCCGCGTAGCTGTGGACAGCGGTGGCTAGGGCGGAGGCGGTGACGGTGGCTGATAGCTGGAGGAGGGAACGACGAAGATCGGAAGGGTAGGCGTTGGAGATGGCGTTGGCGGCTGCAGATCGACGGCACGCTGTTCCGAAACGACGAAGCTGTGGTGGGGTGTCGAATGTGGCGGTGTGCGACAACAGAATAGATGGTGGTGTGCGGTGAGACGATCGAAGCGGTGGATCGGAGCAGAGGGATGAAGCTGCTATGGAGGAGGACGGCGTGGAGCTGCGATCTGATCAGATTTGAGCTAGGGTTGGCTGGATAAATTTAATAAGGCGCGTCCAAAGTTAGCCACTTTGGACGCGCTTGATTATTATTCGCGTCCAAAGTACTGAGCTTTGGACGCGAATAATAGGAGGATTTTAATATTGGCGTCCAAAGTACAGAGCTTTGGACGCCAATACTGTTTTAAAATTTTTTAAATAATAAATTATTTATATAATGACATTTTAATTATAAAAATGCCACCGCATTACACTTTAGGCGTCCAAAGTTCTAACTTTGGACGTGAATTAGTCGATTTTATTGATATTTTTTGTACTAGTGATATATTATATGGTAGGTTGGACTAGTTTTGTTAGGTTGCTTTAAGTGTCATAATCATATCCTTATTGGGTACAATGGGCCAACCAATTCATTACCCTATCAATATCAATAATAAATAATTAAATAAATGATATTATATAAAATAAGATTAAATACTGACTCAAACTCTTGATACAAGATTGTCACAATCTTAATTAAGAGTGGCCAATAACGGTCATAATAAGTAACATATCTAATACATGTAAAATAGTTTCTTTTTTTAAAAAAAAAATTATATTCAATATCTGACTTCTCATTTAGTGTGTTGACATATCTGTTCCCATTCTATATGGATAGTCATATAATCGAATAAAGAATTATGAGTATTTATAAGAATAAAAAAATAAAAAAAACTTTTACGTTTTTGTTACCAAATGGGTATTTGCTTTCTAACACTTGTTCTAAATATTGATGATGAATTATTACCTCTCATTCTAACAAAAAGTTTTTTCTTTTTCTTTTTCCGGTTAGTCAATAGATTTGACCACAATAAGTCCAAATAATAATAATAATAATAACAATAATAATAATTGCCTCATATGGTCAATTGATTATTCAATCATTTGCAAGCAAATAAGCAATGCCAGTTGTGTAGATAAGAAACGTTCAAATGAAGTGTGTGTGTGGGGTAGGAGGGGGGGGGGGAAGAATTTCATTTATATCATGAGTCATGACAAAACATTGTAACATGTACTTAAAAAATGTGACAAATGTAACAAATCCGTAAATATGCATTAAAAACTGCAACACTTAAGCTTCCACTAAAATAATGTTGAATTTCATTTATATCATGAGTCATGACAAAACATTGTAACATGTACTTAAAAAATGTGACAAACGTAACAAATCCGTAAATATGCATTAAAAACTGCAACACTTAAGCTTCCACTAAAATAATGTTGGTAATAATTGAATTTAAAATCATTTAGTTATGAGAAATTATGATTTAAAAAAAAAAATTATCAGAAATTATGCTTCACACACTTATTTACCCATAACGAGACCACTTGTACCATATACTTGATTTGAAAATCAATATTTATTATTTTTTTAAAACAAAATTTTACATTAAGTATTAATATATCATTTAATTAGAAAAAGAATAAAATTTTAATTCACTGAAAAGTCATAATAAAATGTACCTGTGAATGAAACATGTATTGTAAACTTAGTTAGTACAATCCACAAGGAAAAAAATCAATGGGGTGTTTGCTAAATAACTATTAGCTGATAGTTGTTATCGGATTGGGTTAGCGGGTTTGATCAGTTGATAGCATTAGCTGATTGTAGAAAGATATTTGACAAATTAGCTATTAGTTAATAGCTGATTACATGCAAAATGATTTTTTTAAAAAAATTTGTTTTGACAATCTTTTTGAATTTTCGTGTTTCGAAGTAATAAGATGTTACAAACTGTTAATTAATCAAACACTTATATTGGCCATGTTTGGTAAATGACTGTTAGCTGATAGTTGTTACATGTTAGCTTATTTGATTAATTAGAGGATATAACTAGTTGATAACATTTGCTACTTGTAGAAAGGTGTTTGGTAAATTAGCTGTTAGCTGATAGCTGTTTGGTATAATTTCTTTTCTCAAAAAGCTAATTGAAAAAGTTGTTTTGAGTAGCTTTTTGAATTTTAGCATTTTGGAGTACAATAAGCTAATTAACCAAACACTTATATTGATTTTAAAACCAAGTTAAACAACTAATAATGATCAAATAAGCCAAAATTGACCTATAGACTAACTATTTTACCAAACAGGTCCATTGACTGTTTAAGCAAGTCAAACAACTAATACGGCAAATTATGACGTGCAACCGTGTGCGCCATGAAGATTGGATCCATAATTTATATGGTATAGATTCATAATTTCTATACAATAAATTCATAATTTATATACTATAGATTCATAATTATTGAACTCTATATTCACAAATCATTGAATTATATGTTCATAATTTGATAACTATACAGTTTAGAAATTATGAATCTATAGTATATAAATTATGAATCTATAGTATAGAAATTATGAATCTAATGAGATTGCGAGGCCTAAATTCAGCCCAATTTCACGGCCCATCAATTGTGATTATGCAAATTATATCGTGGAGCAAGATCAACTATACGTATTGTGGAATCTATTTCATATTTTGTAAATTGAATTATTATGTACATTCAATTATTACTAAATATACATAATGTTGACCATTGTCCACAATAGTCATAGTGGACTTGGTCCATGATATACCGATTGTTGTGCTTAACAAAAGCCCAATTTTCACGGCCCATAGTATATTTTGCTTTAATAAAAGCCCAATATACGGCCCATAATCTGAAACAAAAAAAAATCGAGAATTAGTGAATAAATAAATCAAATATTTTTCTTTCAAAAAAAAGAAAAAATCAAATATTTTTAATTCCATTCGTGATTCGAATTCGAATTATTCGAATACTAATCCAAATTCGAATACATATTTTGATTTGAATTTTATTCGAATTCGAATACGAATCAGAATATATTTGATCTAACTAATATTTGAATATATATATATATATATATATATATATATATATATATATATATATATACTTTTTTTAAAAAAAGGCTAAAGATCTAATTATACATTTTTTTTTATCTTAATTTATTGGAGAATTTGGAGAAAAATTGAGTTAGGCATCTCGAATTCGAATATATTAGAATTATGTAGATGAATTGAATAGGAATAAAAATTTAAATTAAAATATTTATCAAATATGAATAGAAAATAATTCCAAAAATAGTCGAATTCGAATCGAATAGTAAGATATTTCACTCGATTCAATTGGTTTACACCTACCCAAAATTAGTGAATCTGCTTTATCACCTACCGGCTACCGCCCACATTGTGTGATTCAGAGGGTGGGCGCAGCTAAACCCGCGAGCTCTTGCGCACACCGGAAAACTGCTCCCACTTTTTCATTGACGGAAACGCCCATCCTTTCACAATAGAATATTCCACCGTCAAGCCTATACATATATTCCGTTGAAATCGAGACGGAGGGCAGATCCGTCATTCCGCTCCTCACAGCTTCCACTTTTATAATATCCATAGAAAATTGCATTATAAAAATCCTCTTCTCCCAAAAGCACAGAGACTGATCATACACACACAAAAACACAGCTTTTATATTTCTTGCGGAGAAATTCTTGTGGTCGTCGTCAGATATGGGCCGTAAATTCTTCGTCGGAGGCAACTGGAAATGCGTGAGTGTCTACTGACTTCTGTTCTATGTGCATCTTGTTCCGATCTGTACTTTTCTAAATCTGATTTGGTCTGTTATTGGATAAGCTATTGTTTTACGCTCATACATGATTGCGTGTATTAGTTTGGTTGGTGGAGTATCTCAGTATCTGTGTGCACTAATCCTTGCCTTATATGTCGTGGGTTGGATGCAAATCTCGAATTTTTTGGGTCCAATTTGGGGTGTGGTTATTGGAGGATTTAGATCTTGATTGAGCTGATAAGATGTGATAGCTGTGTGTTATTGTTGTAAAGTTTTGATCTTTTGGTTTATATTTATATGCATTATGATTAAGAATCAGTATCTTATTTTGGGTATGTTGTATTGCAGAATGGGACTGCTGAAGAGGTGAAGAAGATTGTTTCGATGCTCAACGGTGGTCAAGTGCCATCTCAAGATGTTGTTGGTAAGTCAATGTTTTCAGTGCCTGATGTATAGGAAGGAAAAAGTTGTGTTTTCATCCTGCATTTGTATGTTTTTTTTTTTTTTTTCCTTTTAAATAATAATAAATAAGTAATGATATTGATAGTGAAAGTCTTATATGGATTCAATTTGGAACCCGGAGTGTGTGATTTAATGAGGTTTTTGAAGTTTTCTTATTTTTGCTTAACAAGACAAGATTGGCATTTTATTCTTGTTTTAGTTGTTAGCTTTGCTCTAGAAGAGTGAATTTAAGAATGATTTGATTTACATGGATATGTGATCCTTCATGTATAAATGGATAGTTTTACTCATCTAGTGGTGAAAGTGGAATGAATGAGGAACTGTATAGATATTGTTCATGTTTTCTGTCTTTATCTGAATTTAGGAAATAATTGTTTACTTGGTGTGAAGATTTCATGCTTTGGAATGATCTTTATTGTTGTTTGACACTTGCCAAACTCATTGTTTTGCAGAGGTTGTTGTGAGCCCACCATATGTGTTTCTTCCATTAGTAAAGGCAGAACTTCGGTCTGATTTCCATGTCGCAGCCCAAAATTGTTGGGTTAAGAAGGGTGGTGCTTACACTGGGGAGATTAGGTATGCAACCTTGTTGATATATCTATTGTTCTTAGCCTTGCAATTGTGCTCTTAATTGCTAAAGTCCTTTGAGGATTATATCGAGTGCTTAATGTGAAGTTCTTGGTGTTGCATTTCTTTTTCAGAGTGTAAGCAGATATAACATTTCTTTGACTAAAATGTTTTAATCTATTTACTTTGATTATGTTTTTTTTAATAGTGCTGAAATGCTTGTCAACCTGGGTATTCCTTGGGTCGTCCTTGGTCACTCCGAAAGGAGACTTATCTTAGGCGAATCAAACGAGGTAACCTATGTTTTTTTCATGTTCTTGTGTGTGTGTGTGTGTGAGTATATATATCAGTTGATTAGGTAATTGACCAAATTGTCAATGTCAGTTTGTTGGGGACAAAGTAGCATATGCCCTCTCTCAAGGTTTGAAGGTCATTGCCTGTGTTGGTGAAACACTTGAGCAGAGAGAGGCAGGAACCACAATGGAAGTTGTTGCAGCCCAAACTAAGGCAATTGCAGGTACCTGCTTTATCAACTCCTACTTTCATCGTTCTTTCATTGTTCGACTTCTTTTAGTTGTTGTTGGGATATCGGGTTTTCTTTGGCCAAATTTCCAAAATGTGCTTAAGAAACCAAAATTATGAATAAGCCTGCTAAAGTGGTTTTCCTATTGTTTTGTTCATATTTCCTCTCTGTAATGCACGCTATTCTCGCTCACGTTTGAGATTTCTTGAATATTCTTTTGGCCCTGAAGTTCACAGAAGACACCATAATTCGTACGCTGATATTGTTTCGAGCTGCCTTGAATTTCCTTCACTAAATATGGTTTTTGCTTTTGTTCTCTGATATTGCAGATCGAGTATCAGATTGGTCTAAAGTTGTCATTGCCTATGAGCCTGTTTGGGCAATTGGAACTGGAAAGGTTGCAACACCTGCCCAGGCACAAGAAGTAAGTTGGAACGTTTTGCTGCACATTTTTAACTTTTTACGTCTGCAATATAACTTGTTGATTCCCAATAATCTGCTGTTATTTTTCCTTTTTCATTTTGAGGTGTTCTTCGACTTAAACCTGTATCTTGGCCCTGTTTGGTAAAATAGTTAGCCTATCAGCCAATTTTGGTTTATTTGACCACTATTAAACAATCAATATGAGTGTTTGATTAATTAGCTTTTTGTAACAACTTATTGCTCCAAAATGTTAAAATTCAAAAAGCTGCTCAAAGTAACTTTTCTGATAAGCTTTTTGAGAAAAGTCATTTTGTATGTAATCAGTTAACAGTAATTTACCGATCACTTTTATACAATCAGCTAATGCTATCAAACAGCTAACAGCCATTTACCAAACACTCCCCTATCATTTGAACTGCCCCAAAAAGATATGGTCCATATGGAGTATTATAATTTGGTGTTCTCTTGAGAGCGATGATTCTTTTTAAATTGGAACTTTGTTTATTCTGCACGTTTTCCATGCTATATAAAGAAGTTCACATAACAGGTACATTGTGATCTGAGGAAATGGCTTGAAGCAAATGTGAATGCTGATGTTGCTGCCTCTACCAGGATCATCTATGGAGGTAATATTTCATCACTATAAATACTACATATTACCGGAAATTGCATTAGTCTTATGAGTTTATCATACTCTCGAATCACTCTATAGAATAGTTAAAACTATAACTATGGAGCTCGAAATTGCAACCTCTCTCTAAACTACATGCTGTTTGCAGGCTCTGTAAATGGCGGAAACTGCAAGGAGCTTGGTGCACAACCTGATGTCGATGGTTTTCTGGTGGGAGGAGCTTCCCTCAAGGTATTCACCACGCCATATCTGATATCGGAACTTCAATTTTTGCCAAGTTGTTCGAGGAAACGTATAATGTGATTTTAATTTTTTTTAATTTTTTTTTTTCTGCACAGCCGGAATTCATCGATATTATCAAGGCTGCTGAAGTGAAGAATGCCTGAGCATTGAAGACTTGGGGATTTTAATTAAGGTTTTTGGTTGAGGATTTGTAAGATGATGGAGATGTTGAAACTCCTTATGTCATGCTTACATGGATAATACTCTTTTCAGTTTTTGCAGCTTTGAGCCCTTTTTGGATGTACAATAAACATGGCATACTTTTAGCATTATTCTGTCTTGCTAGTTTTGGTACTGACATAATTTTCTAATAAAATGCACTCTGTTTTGGAATATGTTGTTTGGTGTTTATATACCTTTAAAATGAGGATGTTGGGGGCTTGGGAGAGTTAATAGGAAGTGGCTTTTGGTAGAGTAGTCAAGCTTTGGTTGAATTGAATTATGTTTGAAAATAACTCTTTCAATTGAAGCATGCATTCCATCTCAACTAAAAACATTGCCTCACGTGAGGGCTCCAAGTAACACGTTGTCTGTAGTCTATTTTATCTATGACTTTTGGTATGACTCTGATACCAAAATGAAACATGTGCTCCATCTCAACGAGTCCAAAATAAAATATGTACTTCATCTCAACTAAAAGTCTTAGTTGATAGTTGTAATTATATTGTACATTTATGTTTATATATATGTATTATATGCTCAATACTTTCAATTATTGAGTCTTATTCAATAGTAATAACTGAGCATTAATTGAGTCTTATTTGAGAGCAATTAAGTATCTGTCGAGTCTCATTTGACTATTCTCAACTATCGAGTCTAAGCTATTAGTTAGGTCTCATTTAGAAGCAATTAGTATCAAGAATAGCTCTCTCGATTATTGAGTCTTATTGAAAAGAAAAAAGAAAATTGAAACAAGTCTTCTACAGATTTTGTGCAATTTTTATTGAACAAGGGACAACCAGAGTCGAAGTTGACTAAAATTTTTAATATTGTAATAATAATAAATATGCTATTATTAAAAAAATTCCAATATGGGAATTAGCAAAAGGAAAATTAAAATAAACTGTAAGCTGAGGTGGAATATTCTGGTGATGCAATCCCAGCAATCCCAATAATTTGATTGCATATTATTTGTAACTTGGATCTACGTAAAGGGCAAAATAAAATTAGTTAGATTGCATATTATTTGTAACTTGGATCCACATAAAGGGCAAAATAAAATTAGTTAGCCTAAAAAAATAGTTGAGTAGATAAAGTATAATTTTAAATGATTCAATAATAATTGTAAGTTTCTTTTTTGAAAAAAAAAAACAGTTAAATAAAGAAAGTACTTATTGTTTCCGACTATCGCGTTATTTAATCCCAAAACTTAATTTGACTGATTAAATACGTTTTGGTAATCTGCACGTAGACGCTTTGCATACGTCTTCTTATTCTTTTAGCATAAGTCAATCTTTTTTTTTTTGTTTGTTTGAATATGAATGTCAATATAGTACGTGATTAATAAAAAGTTTGAGATTTAAATCTCGAGAGAGACTCTCATCATTAAGATATATATGTTTAAATCGAGTGATTGATCGGATTATAATTATTTGATAGATTAAATATCGTTTATGTAGGTCAATCATTATCAAATTGATTATCTGTTGGTTTGATAATAAAATGTTTCAAATTTAATTTCTAATGAAATGACCTATTGGAGTCTTATTAATTTGAACCGGTCATCAGCTATTAGCAACCTAGGTTGGTTTACGGATAGTGATCAGTCACATGTCATTAATTGATATGGCACACATAATGTGCTTTAAAAGGATTTTTTTAGGGCTTTTTTTTTTTTTTTTAATTAGTATACTCTAACATATCTATAGTGTCTGAGACCTTCTCTATGGAAAGCAAAAATGGAGTCATCAAATTACAAGGTACTTTTTATTAGACTTATGCAATTAATTTTATTTCATTTCTTGTTCATTGACTATAGTGACATTGATAAAAGTGTGAGAGATGAAAGGTCAATTTCATCGCTGGCATATTTTCTTGTGTCATATGCAGTAAACACTTGAGAATATATTAGAATTCTCAGTTACACAACTTAACAGGGAAATTATTGGCAGAGCAACCCAAGATTTCTATATATCTTCTTGTATCTCATAGGTCTTGGATATCTCTATTGCTTGTAAAGAGAGACTAAAAATTTATAGGAAAGTGATTACACGCTAAAGATGTTAAATGATCCAGTTTTTTGTTCCCTTATTTTCTTCTGTATTTTTTGTTCTATCTCAAAAATATTACAAAATACAAGTATTTTTTTCCAACAAAAATAAACTTAAAATTTGTCGCATCATGATTCAACGAATTTGAATATAAATTACTATTATAGTTTAGCCAATAAGTCATGCACTCTTACATGAAGTCGAACTTCAAACTTTCTGATTATTAGACCAATTAACTAATTCAAATATAAATCACCATCATAATTTAGTCAATATGCAACTCTTATATGGAGTTAAATTTGAAACATTGTGATTACTAAGACAACTACCTGACCAATTAACTAATTCAAATATAAATTACCATCATAGTTTAACTATGAAGTTGAAGTTCACCTTCAATTACAACTACTTGGTTTGTGTACAATGTATATATTACGTACAAAATCTTAAACAAATGCTACTTAAATAAGAGTCAGACAATAACGTCGTTGCCAGGCTGTTAGGATTAAGGAGGCCGATTGAGTCAAAGAAAAACAAGACCGAACGTGAAGTGGAAGCTAAGTCCTAACGACAACAACCTTTTGCATGTGAATTTGATTGGCCTAATCTAACAAAGATTTATGTTTATCGTATCATTCATCAACATCATATCCTCTAAAATCAATGTATTTAATGAAACTTTCACTCTCCCTGTTAAATTTCCTCTATCATGACCTATCCTTTTCACTATCACTGTGCCTGACTTTATCTTTGGTTGCCTAATAGAGAATTTGGATAATGTTTTCGGTATAGAAAAAAATGTCAAATTAGTTCATTAACTTTAACAAATAGTAGTACAATTAAGTGTTTTAATTGAAGAAAACTAAACTGTGTTAACCTAATTAGCGTCAAATCAGTAATAACTTGTTAAATAGATAAAATTGTACTATTTATCTGTTTAGAGGGTCTCGTTTGATCCCTTTTCTTACCTAGATGATCTAATTACACTATTCATTGCATTACTGAGTCAATTTAACACTTTCTTTTATATACTCCGTGTATTTTTTTAATTAAAATTTTTCCACCATATGTATATAAAATAAAATATTGATTGGAAGCACCCAAGATTCAAAGAACTATTGTCAAAGGGGGGTTTAATTAATGAAGCATGGGTGGTAGCTGTTGACACTTGCTAACCAATTACCATCAAGAGCTGAGTTGGTAGCTTTGACTCCATTGCATGCTATCCTTCTCAACAAAGATACACGTGTTCACATCTATGCTTGCCTGCGTTGAAATTTTATTTCTTTATTTTTTTTATTGTTGGCAATTTTAATTTACCAATAAATTATATTGCTTCCAAGTTCCAACAGGGTGGGTAGGGCAGGGCACCTAAATATGTATTATATCTATAATATGTATGTATAGTTGTATACCAATACACTTTGATTTATAGAAAAATTTATACTCACTATACATTTCGCTTACGGGTGAGCTTACGCTTACTCTCAGCCTCTTTGATTGGTAGGCGGGCGGGCTAAGCCCCCTACTTAAGATTCTAAATTCATAAGGCAAATTTTATGTTGTTGTGACGCTTTGGTTAGGCCGACTACTATAGGCTAGCTACTTCTAGCTTCTATACTGGCCCTTCCACTTTGGTGTAGTTTTAATTTGTATTGGTACTGAATGAACATATCAAACAAAGACGAGCAGTATAAACTCAATCACCTTGTAACTCTAATTAGTAAATGACCACAAGGAAATAAACTAGTCTAAGTTGTGTTCATATATAGCGGCTCGATTCAACCAAGATAAATGTACTAGCTTAGGTTCCCACCAAGATAAATGACCAAGTCTATGTCTCGTTTAATGTTTAATTCTAGCCCCCGGATGGATTTTAAATACCCAATCACATCAGAATTACAAGGAACAAGAGTTGGCAGACTGGCAGGTATTGAATGGGCTGGGTTTTTTTTTTTTTTTTTTTTTTTTTTTTTCATGTGGGTCCCTGGAAATGTGTCTACATACAAAATTTAAGTGTGAGAGTAGAGAACGGGAGTACATATAGTATTTTCCGGCAGCAAATAGCAATTCAATATATATAATAGCTTAATTCCCTGGCTGGTACGTCGTCGTCGTCCCATCGGTACTGATGATAGTTGTGGCCATGTCTTTCAATTAATTCCATATGATCCTTGTGATGGCAGGCATGCATGCATTTGTCAAGAATTATGGACCAACTATATAATCTAGAAGTAAGCTAAGCTAGCAAGGTAAGGCATGCATGCACAACAATAATAATGTGAGCTAGTAAGCTAATAAGGTTCATGCATCTAGAAGTTGACCTTAGCTTCAAATTGTGTCGTCCCAGGCCGGAATTTATTCTCTCCGCCCTGCAACTTTTTCTGCATCTTTAATTAGCAGCCTCGTTTACTTATCTTTGAGGCTTTTTATGTGCGCGTTGGACTGTTGGCTGTCAGGAAACGAAAACATTTTTTTTTTTTTTTTTTTTTGAAATAAGGTCAAATAAGCCACTCAACTGCACACCAAATTATAATTAGAGCATTGAACTTAAAAACAGTGTAATTGATTCCCTAAACAACACAAAATCATGTAATTAGATCCCAAATGACATGTTTACCTGAAAAAGCAGTTACTGATTTTAAAATAATTTTAAAATAATTTAAAATAAAATAATTAATTAAAAATAAAATATAAAAAAATAATTTAAAGACGAAAGTCCATGGGCGGTGGTCCCCGGCCATGGAGATGAAACTCCATGGGCGCCTGGGCGGTGGTCCCCGGTCATAGAGACGAAACTCCATGGCCGGTGGTCTCAGGCCATGGAGAAGGTCCCTTCGTTTCCATGGCTGGAGATGAAGGAACCTTTATCTCTAGCCATGGAGACGTACCACTGGTAGTTTAGATTTTTTTTTTTATTAAAAAAATAATTTTAATTAATTATTCCATTTTAAATTATTTTTAAAATCGGTAACCGCTCTTACAGATAAACATATCATTTTGGACCTAATTGTATACTTTTGTATTGTTTAGGGGTTCAATTGCTCTGTTTTTTAGTTTGATAGCCTAATAGTAATTTGGTGTGCAAGTTGATTTGCATATTTGACCCTTATTCCTTTTTTTTTTTTTTCAATAGTGAATTGAAGTCATATAAAATTAAATGATACTCCGTATATATCAAGCTATATAATTGATGCCCGAAAGGAGTGACAATATGAATAGAACATGATTTTTCTATTTGAATGTCATTAGTTTAATTTTTATTGATACTCCTTTGTTTGAGCCTGTTGCATATCATCTTTATTACGTTGTCCAAAAAAAGACTAAATATAACTTACACACACAAAACTAAACATAGGACTAAATTAAAATAGAAAAGGAAAAATTGTTGTTTTCGTTATTAAATTACAAAATAATTGTAATTTCCGTTCGTGATTAATTGTTACTCATATTCATTTTTTGTTCTTAAACTCGTTGTGGATATTGTGCTTTTCGTTCTTTTCCTAACGGGATGTTATTTCTCCATTTAATTGTTTTCAAAATGGAGGGAAGTTGTCAAAGCACCTTCACATTCTTACATACATACACGTATAATACTATATATACATCAAATCCCATTGTGTAGAAGTTTGACTCTCGTAAATAATACATTATGTTAAGAGTTTTGGGTCATATTTTTTTTCAAGTAAGGGTTAAACTTTATAGGCTTATTCCAAATTAATATCACAATGGTAAAAATACCCAATGTTGAAAAGGAAAATAGGATAATAACGTAATTTTGTTAATGTTTTCATAGAAAAATAAAAATGTCTTCCCTTCTTTTTTTTTTATTTAAATTATTTTTATTTGCATAAAAATTTAGGCACGCATATCGTTGTAGTTATTTAAGTTATACTGAAGTGTAAGTATCCCAAGTGGTTACTTAGTCAACATTAGTTTTGCTTCTAGTGACATTGTGTGGGATCTTGGGGCGGGTTGTGCATAAAGGTAGTCAGTGATAGTGAAAAATTGTAACATATATATAATTTGAGCAGTTGAGAATTTACCTCTCTTATGAACTTTAAGAAAGATTTATAGAATTTAGGATACGACAAAGTCGAGAAATATGAATTATAAAAAAAAAAAAAAAAACCAAATATTGTGAACTCGCACTTATCTTATAGGTGACAGCATCCTTACTACACCATTACGTAGTTATCAAGCTGCGACGACTGCTGCATATATCTTAATGAAGAGACAAGAGACATGGCCCACCATGCAACAGCTCTTTGTATATTCTTGAAAGCTAAAACATTGAAGTCGGATGCACCAATTAATTAAACTTATCACGCAGCCGGCACACAAATTTTCCCTTTTTTTGGTCACCACAAATTATGTAACTACTATTCAATAATATGTACGGAATATTAAATAAAATATTATTTTTGTGTAATAACTCATAAGCTAAGCATTTTGTATTTAGCTGACATATCAGTAGCTCTCCTTAAAAGAATGTCACAAAATCGAATCTCGATAGTGATTTGAAATATTCTTTAAACTGCAACAGATCAGATAAAAAATGTATAATATAGAACAGATATTACTTTATAATAAAGTCCAAATAAACATTGATAAAATTTAAACTCATATTTTACGTGATACAAAAATCATGCTCTACTTATTCGTTCATTACACCATTTTTTTTCTTTATCATCATCGTAATTAATATATGTTCCTACATTAAAAGTCCATCGTGAAATGATGCTGATCCAACGGCACTGAATCGGTGCACCATTGCACACCTAGCTTGTCGTTTTGTGCATATCACCCCAAAAACAAATGAACCACCAAACACGAATTGAAGAAGAAGAAGATAAGGCATGGAGGCTAGCTACCTTACCCAGTCCTCCTTTCCCATTTACTTATAAAAATGTCTTTTCTAGTTTTTAAGTAAGAATCAAAATTTGCAGATATAATCTAAACTAAATTTTAATTAATTTATTAATATCTTATGATCTAATGACATGAAATATTCTTTCAAATAGAAATTCATAAATTTAATCCTAATTGGTTCAATAATTAACTTGATCATTTATAAGAATTGTCTATGTTTCTTCAATGATTCATTTACATCAAGAAACATATAAATCGAGATTGAGTTGCAATTTTTTATAAAATCATTTCACTTTACCCCATACACGTGAATGTAGCGGTTATACGTATTTCTGCGGGCTTTATATATAGGTGTGTAAACAAGAAAGCAAGTTGTAGAAAGGAGAAGAATAGAGTGACAAAACAAGGGGGAAAAGTCAAAGGGCCCCTTTTCTGGGTCTTGGCTTTTGCGAAGAGATTCTCGTGAAGCTACCCAAAACCAAAACTAAGTGACAAATTTTCAAATCTGGCAAAGTAAATATATGCGTGTTCACATCTCTGCGTTTTGATCTGTCAAGGTGGTTGGTTGTGGGCTTATTTATTTTTTCCCCTTTTCTGGATGTAAAGAATCCTTCAAGAACTTCCACTATTTTATAGGGCCTCTGTGAGAGAGACAGAGAGAGAGAGAGGCCATTTTCTTGAAGGAGGAACAGAAAAGATTGAAGCTTTGGTGGGTTTAATTTATGGGGTCTTCTTGCAGTGCCAGGATTAAGGCAGAGAGTCCCCTTCATGCTGGTAATTTTACTTTTTCTGGTGAAAAATTTTCAATTCTAGCTCTTTTTAAAGCTGATTGATCACCTTCCTAGTATAGTATAAACACACACACACACACACACACACACATATATATATATAGAGAGAGAGAGAGGTTACTGCAGTAGCTTTTTGTTCACTGTAACACATGCATGTACAGTTTGGTTTCTATTTTGTTACTTGATTTAGCTGAAGTGGGTTTGAGCTAGTTTTGTGAAAAGCTGTTCCCTTTTAGGCTTTCTTGGGGAAAAAGGGATTTTTTGTGATCTATAGAAAGTGTGTTTAGGAGATTAGCAACTTAGGATCTTAGGATAATTATGGTAAATATTTACCTTAAACCTTGGGATTTGTGTGATGTATAGAGTTTATGTTCAATGGTAATTTGTTTAGTAACATAGATCAATTGGGAGTTTTGCCTAGATAATGCTATATCAAGTGGATTCTTGGTTTTCATCAAGAATTCCCAGATTCCATATATGGATGGGTATTGACACTAAAGTATGGAGTAAAAAATTTTCTGCTTGAATTTAGCATAGTAAGTATAACATTTCATTCTTAGGTTAGCTCAGTTGGTTTCTGGGTGGTAGATTGTGGGGCAAAGGGAATTTTGCCTTTTGTGGACAAGAATTGAACTAGAAAATCGATTGGAATTTGTGTTTACTCAACAAGAATGTGGTTTAGTGTGGATGTGTGAAGTATATTGTTGTGTTCACAGGGGCAGGTGGTTTAAGTAACAGGCTTTCATCGCCCTCGGTGCCATTGACCCCTCGGAGTGAGAGTGAAATTTTGGAGTCGTCGAATCTCAAGGGTTTCACTTTTAATGAACTCAGAATAGCCACTCGAAACTTCCGGCCCGATAGTGTGTTGGGTGAAGGCGGTTTTGGTTGCGTCTTTAAGGGATGGGTTGACGAGAACACCTTTAAGGCAGCTAGGCCCGGTACTGGGTTGGTTATTGCTGCAAAGAGACTGAATCAAGAAGGTTTCCAAGGTCATAAGGAATGGCTGGTGAGTATTAAAGATTTATTCGCGAAAACCTGTCGGTTATTGCAATTGAGGTTGTCCACTATGTAATCCATATATCTTGCTTTTGGTTTTAGTGGTATTCCACCACGTAACCCATATGTCTTGCTTTTGGCCTTCACATTTTCATGGTATTTCACTATTTCGGTATTCTAAACGGGCTGATAATATGTATTTTTGTTCGTTTTCTTTTGCGTGTTTAACAGGCAGAAATCACTTATCTGGGGCAGCTATCTCATCCTAATCTCGTAAAATTGATTGGCTACTGCTTGGAGGATGAACACAGGCTTCTGGTGTATGAATTCATGCCTCGTGGAAGTTTGGAAAATCATCTATTCAGAAGTGAGTCTCGGGATTCTTAGCCCCGTTAGAAATGCCCAAAATAGTTTTCTCGTAGTAGAGTTGCCCTGTTGAGCTTATACTATATATAAACATAAATGTGCAATCCAACTATCAGCTTAGGCTTTTAGTTGAGATGTAGTTGCCCATATACACCCATTGACCAGTTCAATATAATGTTTTTTAACAGGGAGTTCTTACTTTCAACCACTATCTTGGAATCTTAGAATGAAGGTCGCCCTCGGTGCAGCCAAGGGACTTGCGTACCTTCACAGTCCAGAAGCTAAAGTTATATATCGGGATTTCAAATCATCGAACATTTTGCTTGATTCTGTACGTGGAATTGGACAACTTGACTTTTTGAATTTCGCTTTCCCCAGAGGTCCAATATCTTTAGACGACTCTCTTGCTGATCTTCCACTGTGAATTTTGACAGAATTACAACGCAAAGCTTTCTGATTTTGGATTGGCTAAGGACGGGCCGATTGATGGAAAGAGTCACGTCTCGACAAGAGTGATGGGTACATACGGCTATGCAGCTCCAGAGTACATGGCCACAGGTAATGCCTCTTTCCCTCTGTTGAGCATATAACATATAAACATAAATGTGCAATCCAACTATCAGCTTAGACTTTAGTTGAGATGGAGCACATGCTGCAATTTAGTATCAGAGCTTCAGAGCTATGCCAAAGGTCATGGGTGCCATTTTCTAACTAGTACTTCGCTCTCTTACGTTGAAGGCCATTTAACGACTAGAAGCGACGTGTACAGTTTTGGGGTTGTGCTTCTTGAAATGCTGACAGGGCGTCGGGCAGTGGACAAAAACCGCCCAAATGGGGAGCAGAACCTCATCGAATGGGCCAAGCCTTACCTCGCGAGCAAGCGGAGAATCCTGAGAGTAATGGATCCACGCATAGAAGGGCAGTACTCGTTGAGCGGGGCACTAAGGGCAGCACTTCTAGCTGTTAAATGTCTATCGATCGAGCCGAAATACAGGCCGAACATGATTGAAGTGGTGAAGGAACTGGAACAACTTCAGGACTTGAAAGACACAGCAAACCAGAAAAACGAAGCTTCACGGAGGCACCACAACCGATCCTGCAGTGCCAACGAAGAGGCCTCGAGAAGAAGAGTGGCGTCTTATCCAAGACCACCCGCTTCTCCCCGCCTTGCCGCCTGACCGGGCGGGGGAAGGGAAGGAAACCACTCTCCATGTACGTACTACCTCGAGCAAAAATAAAAACGAAGAAACGAGCCTTGTCGGGTTGTGCAGCTCCTATTTTGGGTTGGTGGAAAATCTGTAGTTTGATGTTTTCTTCATGCATAAAGTTAGATATGAGATGTGTATGAAAGCAATTGCCAGAGGGATGCAATCTTCTTTTGTCATGCTTGTATGTCTATGAGAAGTTAGAATCTTTGTCCCAGTTATGAACATGTGAATTATGAGAAATGTACATATACATCATTCGATTATGAGAAGGGTGTCATTCCAATTTTAGGTTCCAAAAGCAAAAGATCAATCAATAGCAAAAAAGTTCCGTCTTTTTCTTAATGCACTGTTGAGTTACTGTCGGCTTAGAGTGTGAGGGTCTGGGGTATGAAATTTTGCCTTTTATCGGATTGGAGTGTGAGTGTGGGGTTACTGTCAGGGCTAGAGTGTGAGGGTCCGGGGCATGAAATTTTGTCTTTTGTCGGGTTAGAGTATTCTGGGGCGATGAAATTTTGCATTTTGTGGGTAAACAAAGCAGTGTCCTAAAAGTTAAGAAGAAAGTTGTCGTCTATAAATATCTCAGACACATTACTGTATTACTTATGTTTTAACACGATATACTTTATGACTTTATAAAAGTAGTATAGTAAATTATACTCCGTAGTAAATTACTATGCAATATTTAGATTACACAATAACAGAATTTACCAATGTGCACTCTCGATTTGTGATAGTAAGTTATCCTCGTTAAAAAAAAAAAAAAAAAAAAAGAAAAAAAAAAAAAAAAAAAAGAGGAAAACCTATGGGTTTATGGGTAATTAATATAAAGCATATGTAAACAAATATCTGCGAGAAAAACTCAGGGGCTTAAACGACGTCGTATGGACTGTGGGATTAGATTATCGTCTTCCTCTTTGGCCAGTCTTCATGGTAGGGGTTTATGCTTTATCTTCAAGCGCTCGCAGCATTTTCCTTACAAATTCTCAAATGAAAATGGCTCTCCTTCAGCAGGCGTGCACAGCCCCATTGTCACGTGCCTTCCGTGTCCGTGCTTTCGCTGTCGCTTCCACCGCCGTCACCGGCCCGGTCTCCGCACCTGCTCTCAAGAAGGCCTCTAAGTCTCAACCGGACTCGCGAGTTCTCCTCGGCATGTCAGAGCAGGAGCTTCAACAGCTCGCTCTCGACTTGGGTCAGGTATGCTCGAATACTCAATTTTTTCCTTGAATATAACCAGGAAAAGAGAAATGTTTCAGTAATATTAAATGCCTGTAATCTGTTTGCTTTTATGCAAATTACGGTGCAGCAAAGTTATAGAGGGAAGCAATTGCATCATATACTGTATAAGAGGAAGGTGAAGGAAATACAGGAGTTTATTCAGTGTAAGGACTACATTTATGTTCTTCTTTTCCATTTTTAACTAGTTTGGAAATTTTGCTATGTAGTTATTATCCTTTTGTGTGATCTCTACTTGTGTTTTAATAATTTTTCCACTGTGAAGTGCCACTGGCATTCAGAAGTGAACTAGAAGAGGCTGGCTGGAAGGTTGGAAGATCACCAATTCATAAGGCTGTCACAGCAGCTGATGGAACTGTTAAGGTAATCTATGTATATGCTGATAATACTGATATGGCTACTAATGTGTCTTGGCAGAGACTGCAGTAGAAGTTGTTGTAAAAGTTAATGAAGAGCTGAATTGGCAGATTGAGTGAAGTAAAAGTTTTGACTGTTTTCTTTTTATGGGGTTGTTAGTTCCAAGTTGTTGCACTTATCCAGGGAAACAAGTTGGAGTTATAATATTTTTGTGGAAATTGGGGTTTGAATACTGTTTATCCACAGAACAATGTAGAGACATGCCACTAAATCTCAATATGGACTTTCTACAGATCAGTGCCTACAGTTTTCTGTTTAAGATTAGAGGCTTGGAAGTCCTAGTATATTGTATTGGAAGATTAACTACTCAAAGTATTTGTTAAATCTTACTGATCTATCTGTTTGCCTTCATATTGCTGCAACTGATCTTTCAGTTGTTGATAAAATTGGAAGACAATCTACTAGTGGAGACAGTGGGCATACCAGTTGCAGATGATAACGGTTCATTTCGCTTGACAGCATGTGTCTCATCTCAGGTAAACTTTTGCATGGAATTTTATGTCAATATATTTGTTTGTTTTGATTGAGAGCATCTTTTTAATGCAGCTAACTAGCTTTGACGTGATTGTGAAGTCTCTCTCATATTTTTATCCAATAAGCTAAGATTACTTACAGTAGTGTTATGTTGTAAACTAGGTGGGATGCCCATTGCGCTGCTCCTTCTGTGCCACAGGAAAGGGAGGATTCTCAAGGAACCTTAGAAGACACGAGATAGTTGAACAGGTTTCTTTGTGTTGCTTTCTTATGAAATTACAAATTTGAAGCTCCTGCCAAAATCTTTTAAGTTAAAAATGTTGAACAGGTTGCCAGTAATTATCATACCCATCTTCCTCTCTTATTCCTTTTCTAATAAGAGTAGCCCATTGTTCTTCTCTATTTTACAAAAGAGGGTAGCAAGCATTAGTGCTTGTTATGCCCAGCTGGAGCTTCTTGGAAAAGAAGGCTTTTTACCTCGTATCTATGCATCTAGCTTTAAAATAGGTTCCCTTTTTAATTCTTAACCCAGCTTGTACCGTTAGAAGTATATAAGCTCTAAGAAGGCGTTGGCCAAAAAAGCACTCAATGTTACTAGAGTTGATCAACTTTTGAATTGAACTAAGCATAGTTGTGTACTTTGGCACTATGCCCCATTAGGTTTTTCCTGTGTTGTTATGTGAGTTAACATCATTCTCTCTATTTTCTTTTAAATGCACAGGTCTTAGTAATAGAAGAGGTCTTCAAGCATAGAGTTACAAATGTTGTGTTTATGGGCATGGGTGAGCCAATGTTGAATTTGAAAGAAGTTCTTGAAGCACACCGTTGCCTGAATAAGGATGTTCAAATTGGGCAAAGGATGATAACAATTTCGACTGTTGGAGTTCCAAACACAATAAAAAAGCTGGCTTCTCACAAACTTCAGTCTACGTTGGCTCTCAGGTAACTATTCACTGTGTGGGCATGCCAGGCAAAGAGGAAAAGTTAATAAAAACTTAAAAAGGATTAGTCAGTGACTGTGTATTTTATACACAAATCTTAGTTTGGTGCACACTCCTAGCTTCAGTGTTGCAGTGGCTGATATGCACAAGTTCTCACCAGATAGTACAATTTTAATTTTTTTAATCAAGAAATCCTTTTTTGAGGTAAAGTTACACTAATTTGTAGTAATTTGAACTTTGAGGTAGGATGACTATTGTCCGTTAGATGGTTGATGGTTCTGTTTGTCAGATCAGGGGTTTTATTTCTGTTCTTGTAGTGATTTATATAGTGCCCACAATTCTTTTGTAGTGCTTTTAGTTACTTAATGAACTTCTTTAACTCCATGGAGAACCCCCAATCCCTTCTTTCTCCTTTTTCCCTGTATTTTGACTGTGTAGTTGACAATATCTTTTTTTACTCTATTTACTGCTATGCATCAGCTTGCATGCTCCAAATCAGAAACTCCGGGAAATGATTGTTCCAAGTGCAAAGGTCTATCCCTTGGATGCAATTATGAAGGATTGTAGGGACTATTTCGTAGAAACTAGTCGACGGGTCTCCTTTGAGTATACACTTTTAGGTACCAATGAAGACTGAAAGCTCATTTCCTTTCACGGAGGTACCTGTGCTGATAACTTGATAAATGACTAATTGTGTTTTTTTTTTTTTTGAACAGCTGGAGTAAATGATGCAGTTGAACAGGCAATTGAACTAGCAGAACTACTTCATAAGTGGGGTCGAGGTCATCATGTGAACTTAATACCTTTCAATCCAATAGAGGGCTCTGAATATAAGCGTCCATATAAAAAATCAGTATGGCCTTCTCCACTTCTCTCTCTGTCATAAAAAAAAAAAAATTCTCCCTCCCTTCAACAACATTAATTGCTAACTTGATCAATCAGGAATGCAGTAATAGATTTAGCATCATATATGATTTGTTGTCCAGGTTCTTGCATTTGTAGCTGCTCTAGAGTCCCGTAAAATAACTGTCAGCGTACGCCAAACACGAGGACTTGATGCAAGCGCAGCTTGTGGACAGCTGAGAAATGAATTCCAGAAAAATCCTTTGCTTGTTGTTCCTGAGAACCAGGAGTCTCATTCAGAAGTTGCAATTGCTTCTTGAAACGGTGAACATTAAGCTTACCCTCAGTGCTGCTATGTTGTATAATTTGGCATATCATATATTCATATCACAGCTCCCCATAGTTTCACCAGACATTCGAGCTCTCTCTCAGAATCATGATACCCCCGAAGAATGCTCGCTGAAGAAGCCTGTGCTGCATTGCTATCATGAATGGGATACTTCAATCTGAAAATGATGCATCAATCTGTTGTTCTGTTTGCTGTTTGGCGTCACAAAATGCTTTTCGATGAGGGGCGAATCAAGCCAACTGAGTTTTGGAATTAGAGGTTTACTGATGTACATAGTTGCCTTTGCCTGGACTAATAATCTAATATTGCCTTCTGGAGGGGAAGGTCTAGGGTATACTGTGCGGACTCATATTTGATCATACACATAATTTGATGTAATGTACCCCCCAAAAAAAAAAAGAAAAAAAAAAAGGGTTTGGTCAAATTTAACTTTTTATTTTTTATGAGGTGGTGCTTCGTTAGTGTATAACACCGACAGTATATCAAATATTTTCTCTTTTTATTACGGAGTATTATTTATTTTTATATTCATTCTATGGCTTCCTTCACCTTTCTTCTGAAATTTTTTAAAAAAATATTTTTTTCTTTTAATTTTTAAAAATAATAATTAAAATATTTATATATATAATTTGACATTATTACATCATATTTAAGAGAATCTTGGAAGTAACTAGGCCTGTGCACGGTTCAGGTTCGGACGGTTCGGGTGTCGGACTAGTCCACCCGTTCGGATTTCGGTTTTCTAAATTAATATCCTATCCGACTTTTTTTTGTATTATACTCCATTCGGGTTAAGTTGGTTCGGATATCGGACGGTTCGGATGTAACTTCGGGTTTGTTCGGATTTCATATTCAACAATTTTTTTTTAAAAAAAAACTAAGTAAAATTTCATATCATGGATTTCAAACTGTCAAACAGTCAAACTGTCAAAGTACTTACTTAGTTAGTTACAACTACTTAGTACTTACAAATGACAAAAATACAAAATGATAAACAAAGTCATTGAATCATCAATCATGATAAACTGATAACAAAAATAAGCATAATGTATTATCTATTCAGCAATTGAGCATTCAGCAAACTGCAACTGCACCAATCAACATCTTCCTGTGAACAAAAATACAATAATCATAATGTATTGTCTATTCAGCCTTCAGCAGTTCAGCTTTCTTGATCTTCCTGTACAAGTTAAATATAACATATTAAATACTTTGGGGATTGGGGCTGTTGGGCAGAAAAATTTAACTATGGAAGGCTCAGATTGCTATGTTTTCATGTCAAAGTACGATTGGGGGCAAATTGCTACTTTTAGTATTGGAATGCAATTATGCAAACCAAAATTAATGAGCAACATACCATCCCAAATTCCCAAAACCATTTCAGACAATGGTGGAAGCATCATCATAGCCAAATCAGTAAAGACTAAAGAGAAATAACATACTGATTACTGAGTACTTGAGATTTGAGAATAAGGGACTAAGGTAGAGTGACTGTTATTACCAGATGTCCAGATGAGAATCATGAGATGACATTCGTATAGGCAGTAAGGCTATACTGCTGGGGTCATACACTCATACTTATCATAGGTAGCAACAAATCCAACAATTGAATTGTTAGTTAGTTACCAAGCCATTAATCCATAGGAAGCAACAAATCCAACAATTGGAATTAAAATCAAAAGTAAGTGTAAATAAAACATTACAGGAATGGTAGGAAGGGGAAAACCAGCAGCACCAGATCCTGTGGTACCAAATCGACTTACTCCAGTAGCCAAATCTGCAAAGTGCAAAGTGCAAAGTTAGAATTTTAATTTGAAATGCAAAGTTAAAGATTTAAAAACAGAATGTAACATTTAAAGAAATTACCTTGTTCAAGCTTTTCAACATCATCAATATTTTCCTCAACCTTAACTGGTTGATTTGGTAACCTCATCTAGTCTTGTGCACATACTAAGGCCTCCACAATTTTAGGAGTTAAAGAACTCCTAAATGCATCTAAAACCCTCCCACTAGTACTAAATGTACTTTCTGAGGCAACAGTGGAAATAGGAACTGCTAGGATATCCCTTGCCATTTTGGAGAGAGTAGGAAACCTCTCACTATTTAGCTTCCACCACCTAAGGATATCAAAGTCAGGAGTGTCCTCCACAATTTTTTCACTTAAATAAACCTGAAGTTCTGTTTCTTTATAGCTTCCACTAGCCTCCAATTTTTTTCTTTTTAGTTTGTTCTTTAACATATTTTGAGGTCTACCAATTGTGGCATGAGACTGGACAGGAGGCACATCTGGTTGGCTACCAGAAGATGAATCAGAAGATGATTGTTGCACATTGACAGAGTAGGTTGCTGCATAGTCACCAAACAATTCTACCATGGCAGCTTGGACATTCTCTAAACACTTCTTCCCATTCTCTTTACCATACAGTTCCTCAAACTGGTATGGCATATATTCCAACTTATCTCTTGGGTCCAAGATATTTGCAAAGAAGATCAAGGAATTCATTTTTTCAGGATCTCCCCAATACTTTTCAAATTTATTTTTCATTTGGGATCCCATAACCTAAGAAAACATTGAATTAAATACAAACAGCCATACACAAAATCATAAATAATCGGATTAACCACTGAAAATGATAAAAATATAAAATTATTACCTCTGTAGCACTACCAGCAACAATCATGCTACTCAACATGCAACTCAAATCAGATATCTCACTGAAGAAACTGTTAGAGGTGACATATAGAGAACCAGAGATTCTAATTGTCATCTCATAAAACCCTTTCAACAGAACTACCAAGCATTCAACAGAAGTCCAGTCAAGAAAAGAAGGGACAAAATCACCCAGATCAGCAACAAATGAGGGCTCATTCAATGAATATGCATCAAACACAGCCTTGTATTGTATGGCAGTGCTAAGCATCATGTAGGTGCTGTTCCATCTTGTTGGAACATCTAGTTGTAAAGAACTTTTGGCTTCCACCCCAAGCAGTTCTGCAAGATCTCTGAATTTTTTGAATCTTGCAGGTGAGTTCCTCATCCATCTAACAGAATCCCTCACCTTCTTAACAGAACTATCTGCAAACCTTAACCCATCCTGAACCACCAAGTTTAAAATGTGGGCTATGCACCTCATGTGAATGTACTTACTCCTAACAGTGGTTGCACCCCATGACAACAATTTGGACTTAAAAAAAACTAATAGCAGTATCATTGGAAGAAGCATTATCAACAGTGACAGAAAAAACATCCCTAATCCCCCAGTCAATCAAACAACTCTCTAATGCCTTGGCTATATGCTCACCCTTGTGAGAAGAAATAGGGACAAAGGATATGATTTTCTTATTCAGCTTCCACTGATCATCTATGAAATGGGCTGTAATGCACATATAATTGATCCTCTGCACAGAGGTCCAGGTATCAGTTGTCAAACTGACCCTTTGAGTGTTAAGTCTAAACAGCTTCTTGAGGTTTAATCTTTCATCAAGGTAAATTTGGTAAATGTCCCTTGAAATTGTCCACCTAGAAGGTATACAAAATCTAGGGCAAGCAACCAAAATAAACCTTTTAAAACCTTGCCCCTCCACAAACCTAAATGGAAGCTCATCAATAATTATCATCTCACATAATGCCCTCCTAATGGCTTCCTGATTGAAAACCCAAGTCCCTAACTCCCCAACAACCCCTTCAGAACCCCCACCCCCTTGAGTATCAAATGTTGTCATAGCAGTGAAAGTAAGCAGTGACTGCCTAGTCTCCTTAGAATGTGGATTTTTTAGACAAGCCAACATATGATTTCTTAAAGAGGTAGTACCATGCTTTTTACTCTCACAGTGATAGACTTTAGCACAGTATATACATTTCCCCTTTACTACTTTGTTTTCAGAATCATATATCTTTTCAAAATGTTCCCAGACCTTAGATCTAGACTCCACATTCTTCCTCTTCTGTGCAGGAACAGCAGGATTAACCTCAGGCTGCTGAGGAGCATTTGTCTCAGTGCCTTGGGTTACTCCTCCAGGCCCCTCCTCAGTTGAGGGTGGAAGTCCAGATTGAGTCATTTGAGTGGCACTTTCCATCTACAAAGATGGGTACCAGTTTTCACTTTTCAGTTTGTGTGAGTGTGACATAACACATTAACACTAAAACTACCACATAAATTACATAATAAACAATTAAACATACAAAGATATCCAGAATCAGACACATGGACATAGTAGTTTGTGTCATCATTTTTCCAGATTTAACAATTAGCAATTAAGGGTCATACATCCATAAACTGATAGACATAATAACATATACAATTATACAAACAAATCCAGATTCAGGAACTCAGTCCAGATCATCATTATCTGGATTTGAGTTAAGGGCTTCCACCAATAAATGGAAATTCACACACTGGAGATTTCACATTTTAGCCTTTAACTCGGATTGGTAGATTACAAATTTGCATGGAATAAAATTCAGATTTCACAAAATCAACACTTAGAAATTAGTTTGTAAAAGGCTTCCACCAACAAATAGCATAATATATGAATATATCACCAAATATTCATCACAGACTCATTGTAGAAAAGACAGAACACAATACATCTCAGTATCTCACATAAATGAAGATATATAAAACTAGGGTTTTCGATTTCACACTGCTTTCTCAAAATATTCACCACATATCATCATAATGATATAATATAACACAAAGTCGCAAACATTTTCTTAATATAAACTAGGGTTTACGATTTACTTGATTTCTCCCAAATAATCCCCGGAGAACAAGGGCTTCTAATCACCAGTTCACCACGGCTTCCACCACTTAGACTCTCAGAGAGACAGAGACAGAGAGTAAGAGATTAGAGATTAGAGATTGCAACGCTTCGATTCTGAGAACCCTGAGATTAGACAATAGAGATTAAGAGATTAGAGATTTAGAGATTACAGATTAGAGAGTAAGACTGTAAGAGATTAGAGATTAGAGAAATAGAGACTAAGATATTAGAGATTAAGAGATTAGAGATTTACCTTACGGATTTACAGAATCAGAGATGACTGATGAGTCTTGAGAGAACTAAGATTCTGAGAGACTGAGAGTCTGAGACTCTGAGTCTCTGAGAGAGTGAGACTCTGAGAGTCTGAGAGACTGAGAGAGTGAGAGTCTGAGAGAGTTGAGAGTCTGAGAGAGTTGAGAGTCGAGAGAATGAGAGATGCGATCTCAGATCTCAAACCCTAGGTCAGCTGCGCAGATGAGATAATGAAGACCAAGTGTTGGAAGGCATATATATATACATTGATGGAACGGCGCCGTTTAATACAAAGCCTTAGGGAACCCTAGCATAGTTCGGGTATTCGGACGGGTCGGTTGGCAAAATTGTATACCCCACCCGAACCTTCTAAACCGACGCCGTATTGCATGGCGGATCGGGTAATGAGAGTCGGGTTCGGGTCATTCCGGGCTGGTCTCTCTCGGTCGTCGGGTCGGTCGGTTTGAACGGGTGGGTCGGGTTGTGCACAGGCCTAGAAGTAACTGATAAAAAATGCTATTTGTACAATTTTGAGTTTTTAATAGTTTTTTTTTTTTTTAAAGCAACTGCAATTGCAATATATTAATGAATGAGTGAAATAATAGAGTCAGGAGGGACCGAGTCCCAGTACATAGCATGATCGAGCTCAAAGGCTAAAGCGGCTAAAGTGTGCGCAGGCATTCATTGCAGCCATAAAAGAACTCTCATGCGAGAGAAGAACCACACCATACGAGGCCTCCCCAGAAGCTGGTTTGAACCCCGCATCGATGTAGCACTTCGGTCAAACAGACATAGATGAGGTAGTGGCCGTAGCTGGTGACGCCGAACGAGGTTGACGGTGATGAACCTGCAGAAATGCATGCAATGCAGCCACTGCTTTCCTCCAGATACGGCTTGGCAAAGGCAGTCGACCCTTCCAAACGGTGGTGTTGCGGGCTTGCCAAAGGTGAAAGAGAACAGTGACCGTACCTCCCCGATCTTCCTCTGACAAAGTAGACAGCACATGCGTACCAAGCTGGGAAAGAAACAATAGAAATATTTGTGATAGGCAAGCCATAAACATTCCAAACACGCCTAGAATAATCACACAATACTAGAGCATGCATAACATTCTCACGAGTGAGACCACACATAGGGCATGTTGGATCCATATCCACTCTCTTTATAAGTAAATTTATTGTGGTAGGAAGAATATCACATAAAGCTCTCCACAAGAAGATTTTCCACTTGGGAAGGACCCTCAATTTTCATAATGTAACTCATTTATCAAAAGCACTTGGTTATGCTCATAATTTCCAACAATGTTTCCATAGCTATCTTTAACCGTGTAGATCCCTTTAGGGTCATTTAACCAATACCAGGAATCCTCATAATCTGGGCTTACTGGGACTCGAGAGATCCGAGCCACATCCTCATGAACAAAAATGTCAAATAAAATGTAGGGATCCCAAGTATTAGAATGCTGATCAATCAAACCTGACACTAAATCACATTTTAATAGTTTTTTTTTTTTTTTTTGAATGCTACTGACTTTATTACAATGTAGTATCTGTTCATAACTACGTTTTAATAGTTTAATTACACATTTTTTTTTATATTCAAAAAAAAATTACACATTTTTTTGTTTAATGATTTAATTGTACGATATGTAAAAGTTTAATGGCTTATATAACACATTTTTCTATATAAAAATATACTCCGTATTAAATATTTGTAATATGCTAATTTTTGCGGAATATATTATTCTATTATTTTTTTAACCTGTTTGACAACGAAATTACATGATATATAAACCCAGGTGCTGACACTGTAAAACCGATCGTCCGGCCCGGCATCCCCATTTCCAAATAACCCTAGGCTAGGGCTTTTTGTATAAATCAGTAAATACATACTAGGCGTCAACGGCTAAACTCTTTCTAATATTCAGCTCTGTTGTGCCGATCAGCGTCTGCGATTTCAGGTAACGTGAGTCGGTGTAACACTTTACAATTTCCAGAATGCTATTAGTACATTCGATCCTTTACTTCCCGTCGATAACTTCCGAATATAATTTCACAGCAAATTGTTTGGTAAATTTCTGTTTTCTTTTATAATTAGTGTCAGTTTGTCAAGAATATAGATTGGTTTATACGACTTCTGTCTTACGGTTCTGCTTGAAATCGAAAGCTGGAGATAGTTAACGCGATATATTTATGTTTTGTTTTTTTGAGATTTATTGGCTGATATTTGTCTGAGATTTTTGAAAAAAACGGTATAAAGATTGTAGCTTTTGTCTGTTGTAGAATTTTTAACGTGTTCTTAAATTAAAAGTCATTCAAGTATATCATTTTAAAGGCGTTGTTGACTATTAATTGTCAAATAAAAGGGAAAAAAAAAAAAACCTAAAAATAATTACTGACCCTCAAAATTGTGTTAAAGGTGATCTTGTTGAGCAAATTAGTGTATATGTAGGCTTTCACATTGCCTACATTAGTTGGAATTTATGCTAGATAGGCATGGGATTGTTGATGTAAGTGGATTTTTCACGAGCGTTTCTTACCGATCTTGTGTCTAGTTTTCAAGGGAGTGAAACATGAGGAGGTATAGCCCAGCATACTATAGTCCTCCAAGGAGGGGATATGGAGGTCGACCTAGGAGCCCTCCAAGAAGGGGATATGGAGGTGGTGGAAGGCATAGGGAACAGAATCATGGGAGCCTCTTGGTTCGAAATATTCCTCTAGATTGCAGGTACTTTCTTGTTAGTGTTTGACTGTGCAACTGAGTTGGAACTTAATGACATTTCTTGTTTTGTATCTCTACTTTGAGAAAGAGAGGACTCTTTTCACAGTCTGCCTTTTCTTGTTGTGTCCCTTGTTTCTTATATTTATGCATTTATTGTGGAAATGCATTTGCACATGCATATGCATATATACAGGCCAGAAGAACTTCGAGCTCCATTTGAAAGATTTGGACTAGTCAGAGATGTTTATCTTCCAAAGGACTATTATACAGGGTAAGCTTGTTTTCTCTGACTTATATTCTCCATATAAATTTTCAGTTTTTGGGGTTATCTGCTTCTAATTTTGGCTGAATTATTTAACATCTCTTGGGAATTACTGCTGCAAGTATTCTAGCATTCCTCGTGTTCAAGGTTGTTGAGTTGCAGTGTGAATTAAAACCGTGCTTTTGGTTTTAAAATGGCATGATTAGAGGAGTTCTAGTCACCATTCTCAAATTTGAGTTTTTTGCTTTGGATTTGAGAATTTTCCATTTTTTTTTTTCACTGTGTATGTTTTGAAATGGTTTGTCAGGGGGTTTGTTGGTTTGAAGTTAAACAAGCCGAAGCCCCACATTTGCTGAAGGCCTATTCTTTATGATTGCTTAAACTTATTGTGCTCCGTGAATGTTGAACTTAATGTTCCCAATGAAGAATGCTCCTTTGTGAAGCCAAACTATAAATTTACATGGTCACTAGAAGTTTGATGAGGAAGAAGATTGATTGTTGATCAATTGAAGACAACCTGAGAAGATATTTTAGTTCAGGGACAACATTGATTCAAGTTCTTGATATATTTACAAGCATGTGAGGAAATTTCAAGTGATTTTCATCTTTAGAGGTTGCCTTTCATACTTGATTGTAGAAGAAAAGGTCAGCCTCTTGGATTATGGCGCTTCTTATGCACTTCACTGTGCACTTCTTTAGTTAAGTGCTCTGAAGCTTACACTTAGATACTAAAAGAGGTACAATAAGCTGTGATATTCTTGCAGCAACTTCGATTGTTGTTTATACTACTATATTCTTGTGTGTTTTTGCCTCTCCAAAATGCATTGCTAGGAACTTTCGATGACATATTGTTCTTGTGCAGGGAACCTCGTGGTTTTGCATTTGTTCAGTTTGTCGATTCTTATGAAGCTGCAGAGGCTCAGTACCACATGGATGGGAAGGTTTTTGCTGGGAGGCAGATATCTGTGGTTGTTGCAGCTGAGACGAGGAAAAGACCTGAGGATATGAGACGAAAATCTAGGGTCAGGTAAGATATGTTGCCCCAAGATATATAGAAGAAAATAAGACTAGACCGCTTTTCCAATATTCTGATGGTTTATATACATTTCGTAGGGGACCATCTGGTTATGGAGGAAGGTCATCGCATTATGGTAAGCAATGATGCTTAGAAAAGAAGTGACAATGGGCCCCTAATAAGTTCTTGTTTTGCTAATCTCAACTTTTTGTTCTTTCAGCCCTATCATGTTCTTTTTAGAGCTTTAAAAATTAAAATGTGGAAAACTACTGATATCATTAATGAATACAGCAAATTTCATAGCTGAAAACAACTATTCCTCTTCTTGGTGCTCAAGATTACACATGATTTATACTCTATTGACAATGATATTGTCTGGTTCTCCATTGTTTGTAGTTTTAGCTAAAAGCTTTGCACTGAAATGCAGGACGTTCTCACTCTCGGTCACGGTCACGCTCTCCTCCAAATGCATCAGGTTCCAGAGCCCGTCATAGATCAAGGTAGATCCAATTTAGTTATTTAGAGAATGCTTGTGTGATCATTCTACTGTTTATTGAATGATCTAAGCGTGCTGCCTGCTTATTATGTCAGGTCCTATTCCCCTGATGATCTACAACGAAGAGATTATTCTGTATCTCCAGATAGAAGGCACTCAAATCACCCTAGGTCTCGACGAGAACATGGTGTCCATCACCGTCGAAGATCAGTTTCTCCAGGATATGAGAATATTGCTGGTGAAAATGGAAACAGCCATGGCAAGTAAGTGGAAATTCTATAAGATATTCCTTGCTTGTGAACCATAGTGCCACTATCTTATTTTTTCATTAATGGCATGTTTTTTTCCACATATAAACCGCTCCATCTGATGTAGGGAACATTTGAACGAGGCGAGGGAAGCACAAACACAAACACAAACACAAACTCGCTGGAGATCATCACCCAGACAAACATCAAGATCACCACCTCGGTCTAGGTCTAGATCTGCTGATGTTTTGCCCAGGGATAGCTAATAATCTCAAAGCATCATGACCATACATTCTTCATTTTGCTTCGAGTAGATCTATTGATGAATGTTAGCTTTCGGTATTTAAGAATGCAAAACTCTTATTCTTACCATTGTTGTTCTGGTTATTATACTTTGTAGACAAATCAACTGCCATTGGAGGGTTTTGAATTTCATATCCTTTCTTTCTGTAATATAATATGTTGTCCCCTTGACTCAATTCTTGCCTGTAGGAAAATTGTATGGTATTGATTAGCATGTGAGGTATTGGCAAGTGCAGTACTATTGATACCAGTACTGATAATATTAGTACAAGATCATTCTGGTCCTACTCGACATTTGACCAGTTGTTATACCATGGATCAGGGTCCACCTTGCAATGTGAACCCGTTCACTGAATAATTTGTCACATTTGACAGCCTTGGAACATCAAATGTTATTACTAATTTGGCAATCTCATGTTTAATTTGGTACCTTATTTGTCACAGAAAAGGTTGTCATTTTTCTTCTGTCCAACTGAATCCATTATGGGATTATTATGTAATTAAAATTGCTATTTTTTTGTAATAAAATTATAATTATTATTGAGTCAATGAGTTTATCGTGAGTTGTAGTTTTTGCTATTTTTTTGTAATAAAATTATAATTATTATTGAGTTAATGAGTTTATCGTGACTCGTGAGTTTTTGCTATTTTTTTGTAATAAAATTATAATTATTATTGAGTTAATGAGTTTATCGTGACTCGTGAGTTGTAGTTTTTATTAGGCATTCTAACATAGAAATTGTAAAATTCTTGCTAAATAGGAGTTTGAGATTAGAAAAGAATTGAAAAATTCTTGCTAAATAGGAGTTTGAGATTACAAAAGATTGATGCGACTAATTTTGATTCTCAAAAAGCAAATAGAACACGAAATCAAGAACACACTAGTTTAACCACTCCCCATCTCATTATATCCTGGTATTATAAATTTATGAAACATAACCTCAGTTTTTTTTTTTTTTTTTTTTTTTTAACATGACGAGGAAAATTCACAACCACTACTTGAGACTATGTACTTGGTGAATCCGTCAGGACCATAAGGAGGGGTTTGTTATTCTAATCGGTAAAGGACCACAAGGAGGTAAATTAAACTATCATAGGAGTAGGAGGTTAGTTGCTCATGATAAAAGACTACAAGGAGATAAATTAAACCATCATAAGATATTAGTTGTTCATAATTGACCGACTCAAATCAAGAAAGCTAATAGTCGCTTCCATTAGGGGTTGAACTTGAAATCTTAGAATTATCAAACTAATATTTTGACCAACTTAGAGCAACATTATCAAAGGAGATTTGAGGGATAATGTTAGAAAAGTGGATGCCAAATAGGAGAGATAATGTAGTAGAGAAAGTGGAGGGGTTCATCTGCAAGGGTTGGGGAGAATAGGAGAAAAGTTGGACCCACCAAAGAAATAAGCATTGTGACAACCTCGCGTGGTTGTCACATTGGCGCCCAGGCGCGTGACAGCGCGCCTGACACTAATTTTTTTTTCAAAATCAATTTTACTATTTGTTTTTTCTTTTTTTTTTCTCTCTCCTTCTATATTCTTTTTCCTAATCACACTTACAAAAATCTCTTAAAAATCGTAATGGGAATCAACTAATGTGGATGCTCTTAACTAAGTTGTCGAGAAACATCACCTTTGTATTCTCCTTAATATACTGCACGAAAGAAATTTCTATATATATATATATATATATATGATGTGTGACGTTTTGGTGAATAAAGGTATCTGGCACCCTGCCCTAAATGCCGAATTTTGTTGTCCGTTACGTTACTTATTTGGACAATAAGAGGGTGAAGAAAACGTGAATCCTTTTCACTACCCATCATATCCCAACGACGTTTATCTAACGTTAAGTTTTCGTTTTGAATTCCAGTACACAGCCTATCTGTACTAGAAAACAACTGGCTAGCTAGACAGACTGCAAAAACCTCTACATATATATACATACATACATACATACATACAGTTTTCGTTTTGAATTCTTGGAAGAAAATTAAAGAGAGAGATCAGAGAGAGAAGGAGAGATGTCGACGGTGGTGGGAACGATGGAGGTGACTCTGGTCAACGCTCGAGGTCTCAAGAACAATGAGTTCTTAGGTAAATTAAGTTATTGTTTGATTTGTGATCTATATCTCTCTCTCGATCGATCTTTTGATGTTTTTGTGTATCTATCTGAGGTGTTTGGATTGATAGGTGGGGGTATTGATTCCTATGTTTTGATTCACTATAGAGGTCAAGAGCACAAGAGTTCTATTGCCCGAGGTTTGTTAGTTTTCCTTTCTTCCCTCTTCTTTTTATTGATTGATACCAGATTACCAGGTATATATGATCATTCATAGTAAGACTTTATTGTACAGTAACAGATAAAATGAAGTTCTTTTTGAAATTGAAGTTTAGAGATAGAAAAGTGAAGTTGTGTTTTGAAATTGCTTAGATAAAATACTTTAATCACGAGATTATAAGATAACTCGTCCTTGTATAATAATGCAGGAGAAGGCAGTAACCCAACATGGAATGAGAAGTTCAATTTCAGGGTGGAGTTTCCAGTTGCAGATGATGACTACAAGCTTCTCCTCACCATTATGGATCATGACACCTTCTCCAACGATGACTATCTTGGACAATCCACGTATACATACATACATACTACTTAAATTGTTAAATTATGAGTAATTTAAACTGTTTTATTTTCTTGTAATCCTTTAATTTGTCGACTAGGATCACAAATTAAAATAGATTTTACCAAAACTAACGTACCTTAGGACAAATCATGTATACATACTACTTAAATTACGAGATATATTAATTGGTCAGCTATAGATAACCTAGCCTGATTTACATTTTTGTAATTCTTTGTTGGCTAAGATCATATCAAAAGAGTGCGTATTCAAATAGCTAGCAAATGTGGGTTTTTGTGTAAATAAAAAATATTTATAATGAATAACATATGACTTTTTTTTTTTTTAGTTTAGGATGTTTTGGATATATGGGTTGTTATATAATCTTGCCATCCTTGTTGTGAATAGGGTTCACTTGAAGGAGGTGTTTGAGTTGGGGATTGAGAATGGGACATATGAACTTCATCCTCAAAAGTATTCTGTGGTTGACAGTGATCAATCTTTTTGTGGAGAAATTCAAGTTGGTATTTCATTTTCTCTAAAGGTAGATATATTCATTTTATGAATGAAAAGCGTCGAGACTTAAGTATTGTATGATAGTTTATAAGTAGTAATAATTCAGTATGATTACACATTACAGGGAACGGTTGATGCAGAGGAATATGGTGGATGGAGGGAAAGCGACTATTAACTCCATAGTTAACAAGTAACTGAAGTTGTTATAATTTGGGTGTGATCAAACTTTTTTTTCAATAGTTGTATTAAAGAGTTTCTCTTTTCTTTTACCTGTAACTATAAATTGTAAATTATGTCGTTTTAATTGCTTGTTGAGATTGAACCCCTATATATATATAGGGTCTGATCCTCTGTGCGAATGGTCATGCACCACCATATATGTAACAATGCACCATCACGTGTTTAGAAATGTACATTTCACCCTGGTGCATTTATGCATACATGTGCATGATCGTACGTCTCAGGGTTGTGGTGCATTTGTGCATTTCACCTGATACATTTTTGAACACGTAGTGCATTTATTCATACCTAATAGTGCAATTCGCACGGTCTCACAAGAACAAGGCCCCACATTTGGAGAAGCTTAATCGAGCTATATAGCCGCCCAACGGGTCCAATAATTTGGATACCAAACCCATTGACTTGGAGAGACAAGAGGCACGCTTAAGTCCACCTATATACCAAACCAAACGTCTTATAAGAGGCACGTTTAAGCTCAAACTGTTGGTCATATAATTTTTCCATATGAATTGAACGAGGATTTGAATTCTCAATCTCTAAAAGATGATAGTGCATAACCACTCACATCAACTAAGTTGGTTATTTGTACTTGTCGATTTAGTGCCTACATATGTACTTAGACGAGATAACTCATCAATACAAGCTACACACTTCTTACCGTATACACATTGTGAATGAATAAAATTACATAACGTACAAAAATATCTATTTACACTATATATATATATATATATATATATATATATATATATATATATATATATATATATATATCAAACTAATATAAATTAATAATGCATATGATGAATTCTTAATTTTTATATGGACATGCGATCTGAGTCAAATATGAAATATTTAACGTCTAACTAACTAAACAATAACTATAATCGAAGCCGTCTTAGTTCAGTCGGTTGGAATCACACAGACGGCGCCGTTTTAGCACAGCAAGCGGTTGAATGTTTAAACCCTTCATGGGCTTCACGTCTGTCACCTCAAACGGAGTTATACTTGTAGGTGAAGTTCACGTTCACGTTCTTCTTCTTCTATCAATTTAGTATGATTTCCATAATGCAACTCGAATATAATTAATGTCTTCCATCTTCACAGCTTGCAATCACATCCTCTTATGGATACACAAATCCATAATATATATATACCCTCCCAGAATAATGAGTTGGTGGGATTGAGGATGTTTTCTCTTCTTCTTCTTTGTCTTCTTCTTCTTGTCTGAATGATGAAATTCGAAGACTTGTTGATGCAGCGGAGCGAGGAGAAAGAGCAGAAAAGAATGGATAATAATCTTGAAGAGGAAGTGGAGGAGTTGAGACAGGAGCTTGATGGGCAGATGCAGATGAAAACTGTCCTCCAGGCTGCTCTCCATGGCCCTGTCACCTCTTGTCCTTGCCTCTCCTCCCTCCCCCGCATGGTACGATGATGTTTTAGTCTCACGATCTGTTCCATTTCAACTAAAAGTCTAAGCTGATAGTCTGAAGAGATATATTATATGTTTCATCTCAACTAAAAGTCTAAGTTGATAGTTTAAAGAGATATACTCTTATATGTTCCATTTCAACTAAAAGTCTAAGTTGATAGTTGATAGTTTGAAGAGATGCACGTGCAGGTTCAGGAGCTAATAGAAGAGCTGGCAATGGTTGAGGATGAGATCTTCTGGCTGGAGAGGAAAGTGGATGAGCTGAAGCTTAACCTGTTTCGGGAGAAGGAACGAAGGGAGAGATGGGGAAGACAGCTTCATCAGAATAAGGTGTTGATTCCCAGACCTGCAAATTCAGTTGAGGTCAGAGCTCATGAACAGCCCAGCAACTCACAGAGTTGTGAAGAATACATCAATGGCAGATCAATTCAAAGAGAAAGGAGAGCTTCCATTGGTTCACCAGTGGATTTCAGAAGCATTTCTTCCTCCACAATGTCTAATGGTAATTGTATATTATATATATTGTTACGTTCTTGATTACTTCGATCTGGTAATTGTATGTTGTGGGAATAGGAGAGAGCTCGAGGGGATCAAGGCGCAGGAGGCATAACAGCCAACCAGATATCGAGATCAGTTGCGAAAAGCCTAATAAGCTTTCAGAAGAACTGATAAAATGTCTGATAACCATATTCCTCAAACTAAACAAGGCATCACTTGAGTGCAGAGGCTCATCACCTGTTCTTCCAACGCTTTCCTGCAAGAAATCCAAAGGGTTCATGTCGAAAACCTCATTGAACTGCGCAGCCCCCACCTTTTCGTTCAACGATTATGCATCAAACCTTGACCCTTATGGGATCTTGGTAGATGTAGGGGATGGCAGCATCACAGAGATCGGGTCGTACAAGAATTTCATCCAAGTCTCGAGAAGCTCACTGGACACCAGACACATTTCTGAATGTCTTCCAGAGATGGGAAAGTTAAGGTACCTCATAACAAGTGATCTTTCATTTTCAAGAAATTATGTTAGTTAGAGATTAGAGATGATTCTTGCTTTGTTCCCAGGATTTTGCTGCATAAACTCAGCAGTGCAGACTTGAGTTTCTTGGCGTACAAGCAGAAGCTGGCTTTCTGGATCAACATCTATAATGCCTGCATAATGCATGTACTGTAAGACAAGTCAAGAGTTCTTTTAAGGAACAAGGTGAATGAAATGAGAGGAATAATGAATGTAAAATCTTGATTCTATTCAGGTGTTTCTGCAACACGGTTTGCCTTCTTCAGAGGAAGATCAACTGGCGCTTGTGAATAAGGTTGTAAGTTGCTTTCTCATTCTATGTTCTTGTTCAGCCATGTTTGCCATTGGTAATCATATAATGATTGGAACTCAAAATGGTTCTTCTTCTTCTTCTTTGAATTGGTCTTGTAAAGGCTGCAATAAATGTTGGGGGAATTGTGCTAAATGCCTTGGCAATTGAGCATTTCATCCTTAGGCATCCTTCTGACACTGAATATGTGAGTAAACGTATCTCTTCCCCGTTCTTATTTACAGTCTTACTGTCCGTTTAAACTTTTAGTATGTCCGTTTAAACTTTTAGTATGTTAATTACATTGTTGACACTTGTTCACCGGCTTTGATTCTTAAGGACCTAAGAGATGAGAAGGAAATCATGCTGAGGAATGCTTATGGGCTGGGTTACCCAGAACCAAACATCACTTTCGCCCTCTGTCGAGGCAGCTGGTCTTCACCAGCAGTAAGCGCCTTCTTGCCCATTTAGGAGAACCGAATTAACTTTTCTATGAATATGTCTGACTAATCGGCTCTGGGTTTGCAGTTGAGGATTTATACAGGTGATGTGGTGAACGAACTGGAGAGAGCGAAAGTGGAGTATTTGGAGGCGGCGGTGGGGGTTTCAGGCAAGAAGAAAATAATGGTTCCGAAGCTGATGCAGTGGCATATGAAGGATTTCGCAGATGATATGGAGTCACTGATAGAATGGATTTATAGCCAATTACCACATTCTTGCACACTCAAAGCCTTGATAATGGAGTGCCTCCAAGACAAAGGGGACAAGAAATCTCCATTGGCTAAGATGATTGACATTCAACCTTATGCGTCTGAGTTTCGATACCTGTTGCCTTTATAAACCAAAAGCATCCCCGAATTGGAATGGAATAGAATAGAAATTGATGTCTCCCAAATGTAGAAATTAGAAAGAAAGAATTCTTAGGCCAAAATACACAGAAATCGCTACACTGCTAGCAAAACCATTGTTAAAATTTGTTGAGTTTATCTTTTTTTCATGATGAAAGGTTATATATATATATGTTTTTCAATACATAAAGACAAGAGCTCAACAACATTTATACAAATAAAATGGTAAGACAAAACAAGTTTACAACAAAGATTCAAGCATTGGGTTCGATGGGGTATCTGAGCCATCCAATAAAGCAAATGTGTGGAAAGAAAATGGAGAGAGCGCCAGTAAAAAGAACAAGAAAACGCCTATATCAAATGTACATGGTTGAATTATAATGGAGTCTAGGGATAGTTGTGATTGGTTTTCTCAATCTTAGAGCTTATAACTAGGTTTCAAGATCTAGCAGGTTCGGTTAAAAAATTCACCACCCGGTTCAACAGATTCAGGCCAAACACGGTTTCTTCACAATTGACTTTAACTGACAATGTCAGTGGTTCGGAACATTTACCTTCAACAGTGATAGTAAGCAAGCAGGGGATAGAGTTGCTCAAAATTTCACTGCTGAATCTTAACCGTAACCCTGATGCATCATCTAGGTTGTTACCGACAGGCATGTCAACGGACACGAGAAAAAGGTTTGCATTACTAAGAACCTTTGAAGCCAAATCCTGGCATATTACAAGGAAGCTGTCTGTCGTGGCTGGGTCAACTTTGCTAAGCTCTTCGACGTGGTCAGTGAATGAGCATCTGTTGCAAAACGTGGAAACTTTTATATGGAGGATTCTGAAGGGGGAAAGAAAGACAAGTAGCAAATATACACAAGCATAATTGCAAAAAGCCATCGCTGAAATTGAATGCATACTAAAACTTTTCAGAAGAATTGAAACCTGAGGATTTCAGTAATATGGTAACTGACCTTCTTACATACTCAAACATTCCAGGTAGCTGAGATTCCTTGCTCGAGAATAGTTCAACGTCCATTGGAAGAGGTCTTACAAAATATCCAATATCAGGTCTCAACTTCACTGGGTGCTTCTTGCCATTACACAATAAAATGAGCTTAAGAGGCAACAGGTGATGGTGGAAATGGACCTGGAGGGTCCTCTGTGAGGTCTCACCAGGCTCCAGGGCAGCAATCTCGTCCATAGGAACTAGAGAGGGCACCTTAGTCTGAGAGTTTGGGGAACTGCAGATCAAGATGAAGTAGAGAGACACTTTTAGAGTTTTAAGAAGTAAACAAATCACGAAGGTTGTGATGTGTGATTTAAGAAACTGATTAACAAAGAAAAGAAAAGCTAAGGAAAATACACTGCCAATAGCAGTCTCATTACCTAGATGTTACTGTTTGATCTGAAGGTTCTGTAGTTTCATTAGATCCCTCTTCGACCAACAATAAATTTGACATGGGCTCTGTTGAACAATTCTTGAAGCAGACCTCAACACAGACAAGTAGCTGAGATGTGCTTGAAACCTCAGATGAAAATATATAATCAACACTCAAGCCACTTCCATTAGCAGGATCTAACAAGGTATAGGATTTAGGTTTAACTCTGCTACCTATATCGCCAATGGAAATTCTTGCAAATGATCGCCGGACATAACTTATGTCAGATGAATTCTGAGCAGAAGCTGGATGTTCATCCAACCATGATTCCAGAGCTCTGTTGGACAACAGTTCACTAATTTCATTGGAACTAGAACAGGCTTTACCCTCTGTTGAGCCACCTATTTCATTTCTATGGGCATTACCAGAATCTGAAAGGTGAATCAATGGATCAGTATTGTCATCATGATCACTCAATTGACTTGCCCCATTGCCACTTGCACTAGTTGGAGAATCCTGAGAACTATAACCTGATACAATTTCCTCATCTAAAGATCCAGATACCGAATCAGGATCATCTGCATCATATGAATCACTCTCAGTAGCTCCATCCTCTTGATTCTCCATTCCTTGTACAACATGAGATGGATAACTGGTGCCAGTGTAATTTAAACTATGAGGCTGTGGAAGAGGTTCATATCCGGGAGCTGCATGAAGAACCATATGTGAGAGAGATCCAGGAAGATAAACCTGACAACTTAAGGGTTCTCCAGCTGGTAATTTTGTCTGTTCCACAAATAACCGTTCAATAAGTAAATGCAAAGGGCTCTTAGTTTCTGACTGGTCATTTGCTTCTTCTATGTCAGTGCTACAGAAGAGTTTCACTATGAAGCGTGCACGGTCACGGAGATCATAGCTCAAGTCACATTTGGCTAGTTCAAGAACATAGTTTAAGATTCTTCTGAAGCTCAAAATATCTTCCCCTTTTGCACACAATACTACCTGGCAATAATTAATGACGACTAATAATAAAAAAGTTTCTCAAAGGTTCAGAAAAGACTGAATAGATTAGCTGGCAAGAAATGCTTTAATAAAATGAAAAATAATCAGATAATTATGTGTTCAAAAAACATCATTCTGTTGCAGAGAAATAGTGGCTCTTTTGCAACCCATGGAGCACCACCTTGTGATTTCTAAGTTCTAACATGTGACATCAAATATACTTATTTTAGGGAGGTGGCCAATTTAAGCAACATGACCTAGAAAGGATGTACAGCAATAAAAGGATGAAATATTCAGCATTTCAAACAAGGAAATGAATAACAATAAGTTAAAGTGTGAAAAAGAAGCAGTTCATGTTAACCTACCTTGACACAAGCATTAAGAATCTGCATCTTTGTTTCAAGAGCTTCTGAAGTAAAGCACCAAGCAAGATACTTGAGAACTGTGGGTAAAATCATTGGGATGATATGCCCAGCGGTGTTATACTCTCCAACCATCCATATGATCATTGCCCGTGCTTTTGGAACCCGGATAGAATCCAAAATTCGAGCCAAATGAACAATTACCTTTTGCAAAATGCACGAGTTAGGAAACAAAACAAAGATGCAAATATTCTCATTTACTCTGTATTGTGTATTCAGACTTTCCAATTTTGATATCAACCTCTTTTTATGTACATATATCCAAATTCTTCAACTAGAAGAGTATTGACCTTTACAAATAGAATTTTCTCAAGTAGAGTCAATTATCAAATATGTCAAATTCTCAAAGCTCTTAACAGAAGTTTATCTGTTACAAATAATATCTTCAATCATACTAATAGAAAGCTCTTTGGTCAGAGTATTGACCCTTAACAAGTGAACCTATTTTCACTTCAAGCAATGGCATGTATCCATACTCCATAGTACCCCAAAAAAAATGAGATAAATGGCCAGAGGATACCTTCTGCTTCTTTAAGGTCTCAATAGAAAACCTTTACTTCAAAAGTTCAGAGATATAGTGCCCAAATTTTCAGTCACCCAAAACATAATAATCAGGTTTCTGATTTACCTAAAATTAAATTTTAGGATAAATTGCTCTTATCTACCCATTAATTTGATGAAAGTTATCATTTACTCTATTAAATATTATGATAGAGAAACAAATTTTAATGTAGTACCCTTTCCCCCTTTGGCACTGGGTGGGATGCACATACAGCAATTGATCTCCTTCTATTTCCAAAAGACTATTACACACATGCCGGTTGGCACAGGGAGAGTGGGAGGGACACATAAAGTCATAAACCAATTGATCTCCCCTTATTTCCAAAAGACTAGAGATTACATTTATTTTGGAACAAGAAGTTACTGTGAGAAATAATTGGCCACTAGAAGACAAAAGTTCCAAAGTAAATAAGGCTACAGATATCATCTTAAAGTACAGCTTTCAAAGCCCATAATGGATGTGGAAACCATAGTGTGCAGAAACATAGATTTCACAACAAAGTACCTTCTCGTGAGAAGAAGGATTCAGCTTTATGATGGTCTTGATGGAATTTATTGCTTGAATCAAAATAACTTCTTCTCCTTCCATAGATGCAATGTCAAGATTTGAAATTTCTGCAGTGCTCATGATCACATGAAGTTAAAATCAAATAGAGAAAACATCAAGCTCAAAAGTAAGGATAAAGCATAATTCTCCAATAGAACCCATGAAACAAAAAGAATACTCACCTGATGAAACCAATGCTAGTAGCCCCTCCAAACATATGTTGGCTACACTGGGAAGTCGTTGAGCACATAGACCAATTGCAGCAACAGTATCTGCAGCGAATCTCCTGTCTATATCTCTAGCATAATCCTAAAAACGCATAAACTATACACATTGGTTTCACAAATCAATTCTTAGACAGCACCAAAAAGATTATACCTTAATATTGCACCATAAGGACATGAACTTTCATCTTTATTACAGCATTAAGATAAGAAATGCACAACCAAAGTAGCAAACATTATACATTTATACCTAAAACCCTCACTTGCAAAATGATAATAATAATAATAACAACTCCTTTCAAAAAAAAAAAATAACAACAACAACAACAACATATACAGAGAAAGAGAGAGTACCTGGAACTCTTGAAATATTGGCGGAATTGATGATTCTGTAGCAATCAAAGATAGTATCTCGAGTTTCAGAGCTTTTATTTGATATGAATCAGTAGCACTTATGAAGAAGTCTTCAAAATGTGAAACAAAGAGAGATGGCATTGCTTTAGCAAACACTTGAATGTTGCAGAGGACCTATATTATTAAGCACCAACATAAAAGACCAACACAAGGTACTTTGTCAGTAATAAGCATCAATATAAAACTAGCAATCAATTAATTCTCAACTGCTCAATAATAATTTTTTAGGAGGATAAATTTTTATTATTAGTATCCCTACTACCTTTGTCCAGTATAACTTCTACCAGTGTGGTATTCTCCAATTAGGAAAACAAATTTATAAACCCTTGCATGAAAACTCTTGTATATATATGTGTCATGTCTGACGTCTGAATTAGTCAATGAAAGAGTAATTTTCAATGAATATGCAGGAACCACTTTTCTTCTGAATCCAAGGCAAGTGAATAAATTTTACAAATGCACCAAGATATTACATGGTCATCTAGCAATGTAATGTATAAACAACTGGCACAAAGAAGTCAAGCTGTCAATTTTCTTGACTGGCTCTGATCTAGAATCATAACCAGAGTAGATCCAATATGGTAATTCAAATGACAATCAAGTAAGGTTAACCAAATATTTTCAAAGAGAAGAGAATTACCACATATCTAGAGGCACTAGATGATCTCAGGAGAAACAACAAAGGTTTAACAATTCTTCTAAGTTCTCCTTTTGGTGCCATAATCCAGTGAATCCCAGCAGCAGCAAGTACTACTGCACTATTTCGACTCCACAGCAGAGGTGAAGTACATTGCAGCAGGAGCTTCACATCATCATTACCTTTGGCAGATGTGAAACATGAAGGATCCCATTCAGAGCTAGCCTTCTCAGAACTTGATCTAGACAAATATTTGTCTGGTCCCTCGAGATAACTCCTAGAAACCATATTTGCCATCTCAGATTCATGAACCTCATTTCCTGAGTCATCAGTGCCCTCTTTCATTGTAAAAGAGGTGTCTGATCTCTCTTTTTCAGAATTATAGTTCTTAGAGGAGCAGGAAGCTATCATTATGGACTCTTTAACAAGCCCATGTTGAGCAATAGCATATCGCAAAAGGATTCCTATCAAAACAATTTGACCCCATTCTTCCACATCAGGAAGAGTTTCACACAACTTTCTGTAGTTTCTCCCAATCAAGAAGAGATTGTTTGGACAAACAGAAGCAAATGCTGCAGCAGCTGCTCCAACTATTGCAGGAGAACTATCATTCAGCAGTATACCCACAATCTGCAACACATTGCAATAGCACCATACATATCAACTGTACACACAGGTGATGATTGGAGTGCAGACCTAGAGAACAATCATTTGGCAAGTTGGCTTTCCACAGTTATGCATCATTACAACATTTTGTGAGGAACAGAATTATATATAATTAATGGTTTTACTTCACTCACGTGCATTCAAGGATTTCAAAGACTAAAATAGATATCAAGGTTGCTCTTCAAACAAATTGTCAGAGAATACTGAAGGTATCAGTTCATCAATGTGTCAAGATCCCTTTAGTTTATAAAGCTAGAGTAGAGACCAACAAGAGGTGTAAATTATTCCATACCATTGGAATATTAAAAATAATAAATAAATAAATATTGTGAGGAGGAAATCTGATAGCTGATTAACAAGAACAAGGCAGACCACAACTTCTATACATATTCTGTCATTACCTCTTTTTAAGATTCATGCCTTCAAAATGAGTAATCGATGTATGATAAGACATAAAGGTTAGAAAACCTACCTCTTCAATTGCATTTACATTTTCTTCTAACCGCAAATCATGCAACTTTGGGAGTGCATTTGCAGCACATTTTCTAACATATACTGATGGATCTCTAGCACACTTCCCTATTGCCACCAAAACAAGTGGTGCAATCACATGTAAACGGATTCCTGCCATTGTACGGAGTGCCCATGCCCTTACCAATGGGTTTTGATCCCCCAAATCCTTCTGGAAACAGTTTATTGAGAGCAATGCCTCATTTGGCCGCCTAAAACATAACAGTAAGTCATCCAATATTAAATATATTTGTATCAAACTACATTAGCATATGTTTAAACTGAGAAACTGAAATGACAGCAAGAATATTTGTTCCTATGATCAAAGAGATGCATTTAAAAAGATATGGAGTACTTGTTAGCAAGTCAAATAACAGGAAATGATGAATAGTGGAGGTTCTTACTTCTCAGCATAATGCAGTAGATACAAGTAAACCAGCTTCTTGACTTCCAATGATTGTGAAGCCACATTTTTCACCACCTAGGAATTCATCAACCAATGAAAGAGAAAGGAGAAGAAGAATCAATAACTGCAACGTACTTATGGCTCGTGTAATAAATCTGCTCAATCAGATTGATTGTTCACACCATACCATATCAATCAATCAAAATAAAAATAGATTCTCAAGTTTCATTACTAATTAAGCGAAAATGGCGAAGTCAAATACTCCGAAATGAGCAGCACCTGGGGGAAGAAATTTGAGACATCAAAACCTTGAGCAATGAGAGCAAGCAATCTCTTGAGAGCTTCGCACTTCTCGGAGTCGAACTTGCTGTCGAGGAGCGGGGCAATGTTGACGTCTTCAGGATCGTCGTAGAGGTGAGCATCCGTGCCGATCCGGAACGCCAACGTTGAGGCTTTGCTCAGTGAGTCCGCCGTCGCTCCGAACTGTGAGAACATGTTCGATGCTTTCAAATTCCCGGCAATTGCAGTTCAGACGTCGGGGATCCACTTCTCTGAAGATGAATAGATGCCGACCCACCGGAAACCGGACTCAGCAGGCGTTAGCTGCCCGAAGGTGTTACCTTTTTTTCTTTTTCTTTTTCTTTCCTCTTTTCTTTTTCCCCCTTCACTAATCACAACTATTCACAAGTAAAAAAATAAAATAAAATAAAATCAACGTCAATCCAATTTACACCAAAACATCAAACACGAGTTAATTATTCAAAGACATTTAACGTTACCGTGGCCCTCATCACAAACGACATAGTTTTGAATTTTAAATTTGACAGTAATTATTTATTGTTCAATTCACGTTACTGTAAAACATGTGTATGTGTTTTGTATTATACATTTATGTGTTTCATGTTATGCAATTATGTGTCTGAAATAAAGTAAATATAACATGCAATTTTGTATCTTATGTTATACATTTTTGTATCTTATGCTATACAGTTATGTACCTTAAGAATATTGATTATGTACATAAACTAAAGTAAATATAAAACATGTGTATGTGTCTTATGTTATGCGTTTGTTCCATGTTATGCAAGTATGTACCTTAAGCGTATGGATTCTTTACCTAAAATAGATTAGTAGTTGTGTACTTGTGTAACACACAACATATTGTGTGGTCTTATTTTACAAATTTATGGCTTGAGTTATGAAATTATGTGCATATAGGACATATATTATCTACATAAATCATATTTGAGAATAAGTAAATATATAAATGTGTATGTGTCTTGTGTTGTGAGTTTGTCTGTCTCGTGTTATGAAAATTTCTACCTTAAAAATATTGATTATGTACCTAGAATAAATTGAAATCAGTGTTGGAATTGGTTAAAGCTTAAATATCAAAACGATATCGTTTTGATCCATGAGCCACAATGTTATGTGGACCCTGGTTCACGATATAAATTGCCATAATAATTGAGTCAATATAACTTTGTCACTTAATTAACCAGCCTATCGACTCATGAGAAAGTAAATCAAACCAATATAGTTTCGGGACTCAACACCAAATTATATTATGCACAGTAAACTCATTTAAAACTCAAAAATCAGTATTTTAAACCTCGACGAGAACAAATATTAAGTGGGGCTTTTCATATACTACATCGATGTTCTTGGGACACATTCAAATATTCCTGAATCGGATATTTTAACCAAAAAGTGTTAATTAATTAATGAAAACTTTTAAGAATATTATCTACATCTTTTTATGTTATCGTCCGTTTAACACAAGTGCACATAATAGATAAGCTAATTTCTCTTAATTTCCATTTTCAAATTCTAATTGCATGGTCAGAAATGAGAATTTACATAAATTATATTGTCTATTTTGTACCTAATTGCATGGTCAAAAGTGAGAATTTAGAGAAATTATCTTTGTCTATTTTACACACTTGAATTAAAAGAATGACATTATTGGGAAATTTAGCTTATATCCATTAACACCCCCCCCCCCCCCAAAAAAAAAAAAAAAAACATTAGTGCTTATGCTTTTAAATGTTTGTTGTGAATAGTTAATTAATCTATCTATATATATATATATATATATATATATATAAAAGTAAAATCCTCCTATTTCATTTTCCCGCCCAAACTTTTGTAGTAAAACTTATTTGATAATCAAATGTAAAATAGAAATTAAATAAAATCAATATTGTTTCCATATTCATGTATTAACCTAATTGGTAAATCTATTAATTGGTAATATTTTTTCCTTTTATTCATTTATTTATATTGAGTAATTATATATAGAGATATAGATATGTATACTAACAAACAACGACTCCAATGTTTATCCTTGCCCAGGATATTTCTCCATTGAAGACTTGCAGAGCTATTAGACTGCAATTGGTGCCCACCTAGCCTATATGAAGTCTCAGAGAAAGGGTAGTGATTCAATAAAATCTAGAGAGTGCATGTTTCACGATCAAGAGGTATTTTTTTTCAATTTTGCTTTTTTTCTACGACTCCAATATTTATCCTTGCCCTGGATATTTCTCCATTGAAGACTTTTAGAACTATTAGATGGTGATTGGTGTGCACCTATATGAAGTCCCATAGAGAAAGGGGAGTGATTCCATAAAATCTAGAGAGTGCATATTTCACGATTAAATGGTATTTTTTTCGATTTTTTTTTCTACAACTCGTGTTGTATATGAAATTGGGAAAAAGATGTATTCCAAAGTTGCTTCCTATACTGTAAAAATAAATTGCAAAATAACACTTTTCTTTTTTACTCCATTGTAGGAAACTTCATGCTCATATACCAAGGGAGCATGTTGGTAAGTACTGTAAGCTTTTCAAAGTGAAAAGTTTATGCCATTAAAAAATTTATGGTGATAACTAATTTCTATATTTACAAAAAATGCACTCATTATTTTATGTTGTAATTCAACTATGCTACTTTGGTTAAAGAATAAAAAAAATGACAATTTTCCTAGACAAATTTATTTATTGAAATCATTTTCATCTTTGAAGTCTGTAGATGATAAACCGTTTGTTGGTAAGTTTCATTTACAATTTTAATCTACATCTTAATTTTTTTTTTATTAACATGTTTGACATTATTGGTAGGGTCGTTGAGATATACTCCCCATTGGATAAGATCATTGCAGGGAAGCCTTCTTAACTTATTGCTTTTCTAATTGTACGTGAATACAAAGTAAATTATTTAATTTTGCTATTTTTATTGTATTTTGTATATGTATTTTTTTATTAAGTAGTTTATTTGTTTATAGGGACAATCAATTGAAGGCTACCGTGTGAGATCAACATATACCAAGAGTTGATTTTTTTTTTTTTTTATTAATTTTGGCCTTGCAAATCCTATGGTTGTTCTTATGCAATTGTGTAGAGTTAAGAATTATACAAAGAGTTAATCTAAACACAAATGTTTAAACTTTTCTTTATATTTGAAAGTGTTTGAATAAGGACAAGTAATGAATGTTCTTTTTTATTAGCCAGTTATATCAAGATATGTAACTCTTGATACATAGCTCCTTTTCAATTAGGATTTTAGAGTTTTGTGATTTTCTTGAAAAGTAAATTTATTATGTCTTAATCATTATCATAATGTTTTTATCATTTATTTTTGTACATATTTTGTTTATGATTGTTATTTTTTTTTTAGTTTACGTGTTAATTAGACCCATCTAAGAAACATTATTGCTATTTATGAGATGATTGAGATAAACAGTAGCAATAAAACATTTTTTTTTAAATTGATGCACTGGCATCAAATTTTCTAATCATCTTTTGCCACTTTTTAAAATGATTAATTAGTATAAATTGTCACACTTTAAAATGTATTTTTTTTTAACGTTAATAAATAAATTAGCTTAAAATAATACATAAAAATTCAAAGGATAAGCAAAGTATAATCTAAAGTATAAAATAAAGTCAAAGTTGTACATGTTTGCAAAGTGGTGGAGCATTGTAATAGTCTCAGTGCATCCAAATAAAAGGCATCATTTAATTGATTATTCTTTCTTATCTCACATTAAAGGTTCAATACTGCATATATATATATATATATATATATATATATATATATATATATATATATATATATAAAGTATTAGTAATAACATTGGTACTGCTAAATGTGTATATAATTAACTAATTATTTATTGCTTTAGGATCAAAGAGTGCCCTATATGGCTATATGATCTTAGACCTCAAATTTTACTTTCAAATATATTATAAATAATCAACCTACATAATTACTATCTATCTTCATATGAAAAAAACTCATCATCTTTATGTGTGCATGTGCACATACAAAACTATAAACTGTCATTTTTAGATTGAATTCATCTTTCATGCGTAGCTGTATTTTTACCAACTAATTTACTAAAGCTTATTTTGTAAGCCAATGTAAAATGAATATTAACTAAAATTTTGGTAATATTGTTTCCATATTTACATATTATATTAATGTAATAACATAATACGATATATAAAAGACATATTAATTATATTATATAATATAATAATATTTTTGGTAACATTATTGTTTGCAAATTCTCCATATTTTTTTTACGTATTTATAATACTGTGTAGAAAAGATATTAATTAATTAGGTAATAACATATTAGCATAATTGGTAATATTATATATGATATTATCATGTAGAATTTTTGGATGTCTATTACCAACTAATTTAATACAACTTATTTTGTAAGCAAATGTAAAATAGAAATTAACTAAAATCTTGGTAATATTGTTTCCATATTCAATGCTCTCACGTACTAACATAATTCAATGCGTAGTTCAGGGACCTAATTGCATATTTTTTGAGTTTGATGGCCTAATTATAGTTTGGTGTGCAATTCAGTGGCCTATTTAACCCTTATTCCTAATATTCTACATCATCAATTAAAAATGGAACGAAAATTGAGTAAAAATATCGTTGCATTTGATATTCTAATTGGCTAATTGACTGAAAATAAAAAAGAATAATTGGTTGAAAATGAATATGACATTACAAATTGACTGAAAATATAAAAAGAAATGAATACTAATAGTTGATTGCAAATAAAAAATGATACATAATTGATTAATATGAAAAAAATAAATGGTTAGATCATTGCATTTTAATTAAAAATTCAACGAAAACTAAAATTTAATGGAAATATTTCAATAATAATTCTACATCATAAATAGTAAATGCATATTTTAAACAATATTAAAGATAAATTAAAAATGGAACGAAAATATTTCAATAATAATAGTATACATCATCAATTAAAAATGAAACGAAAATTAGGTAAAAATATCACATTCTAATTGACTAAAAATATAAAAGAATAATTTGCTGAAAATGAATTTGATATTACTAATTGACTTAAAATATAAAAAGGATCGCTAATTGACTAATACTCTACCATTATTATTTTCACTCGAGTCACCTATTCTGATGGACCGAAGGTGTTAGCTCTATACGATGATGGACATGATTGCGTTGCTACTACCAATGTCGTCTACAAAGAGGTTTCAATAATGTGTAAATACAATCGTTGATATTATGTTTTTTTAAATGACAAAATTGCTATATATCTAGACAAAAAAATATATATTCTATACAAATGAATTAAGATAGCAATTCATTCATATAACTGAGTTGCTAGAGAACAAACATATTTGCCTAATTTATTAAAAAAAAAAAAACTAAACAATGATAAATAAAATCTCCAAATTACAGTACCGCATGCTACATCTACACATTAGCTATTAATTTGAGCAATTGTTTGCTCAAATTCAAACAATGATAACATCAAAACACATAAATAATCCAAACCATATCTTCAACTTCACTATATAATATTTGATGTTTAATTTAAATAACTATATATCAATCTAAATACTTTTAATATATTATAACAAATCCATTTCGTGCATCGCACGGGCGCAAATACTAGTTTGTGTAAAAATAACTACTTCAATACAATTTGCAAGAGAAAAAAGTGATACACTTATAATTGAGGAGGAAATAAACTACATCACTATAACTTAGGGAGAAATACACTATTTCTTCCATTGTGTTGAGCCATCGGTTTCAAACCAAACAATTATACATATTTTGTATGAAACGAATCTCACATGACATAAAATGTTTCAATCAATTGATTTTAATTCAATGAAACTCTCAATTTGATAATTAATCAATTAAAATATATCCCGTTATACAATATATATTCCATAACAATATGTAACACGTTCTCTCATATGAGCAATTTTTGTAAAATTTTAGAAAATTTATGAGAAAAATTATTATATTTTGAAATGATAATGGAAAATTGTAGTCACTATTCGATAATGTGCATTGATAACAACCCCAACCAGGTTTGTTTAGGAGTTTTTTTTTTTTTTTTTTTTTTTTTGGGCTGAGAGAAAAAGTGACTTGCGGATATAGGGGAGAAGAAAGTGAAAAAAAAAAAAAATTGCAAGAGAACAATTTTTTGTGGGCTCTACAAAAAAAAAGTGCATGGGTGCACGTGCACTGCACGTTCCTGTTAGCGGAGCATCCGTATCACTTGGGGAGATTTGGGGGAGAATGTAAGAGTGATTAGAAAAGAGAATGTGGAAAGGGGAGGAAAAAAAAAACCAAAACTAATTTTTTTAAAAAAATAATAAATAAAGTAATGGCCTTGTCAGGCGCGCGTGACACACCCGGCGTGACAGTTGCTGTGAGCGTTGCTGTCTTCTCATTTATTTCTCTTCCTTGGGAAGAGAAATAACTCGTTATTTGAAGGGAAAAAAAACCATATATCTCTTCACCTCACTCTTCCAATATGGCATTTAATTTGCACCTCAAAAGTTGTGAAATAACTCCTCATTATTCTCTACAGTAGATGCTCTAAATCATTTTTTTTTTCCTGACACTAATTTTCTCCATCCTACTTGGTCTAAAACCTGCCAACATAAATTATTAATTTTATTTTTTATTTTTTTGAGAAAAGAAGAAGAAAAAATTATTGATTGATCTGACGAAAAGTAACTGTAAAAGCGCAAAATGACAAATGAAATTAAAAAGGACAGTAGAATCTTGGAATGGTGACTTCAATGACTCCTTGCAGGTTTTAGTAATAATGTTTAATGTTTTCAGTTTTTTTACTTTTATACTTCTCTTTTCCCAAATATATCAAGTAAAAACTAGAAAATCTGGGGGGAAAATCTGGCAATATATTATGTCATTATTATAAGCTGGAAAACAGTACTTTATGTTCACGGGCTCACAGTTACTTGGAAATTTTCAACATTGATAAAATTTAAGTTTTTATTCTTTGCCACATATATATATATATATATATATATATATATATATATATATATATATATATATATATATATATATATATAGTGAAAGGTTCCAGTGTGGTTGATTAATGTGCGTGAGCTTTGTACTTAATGTGCGTGAGTCTTGTGTTTAATGTGTCTGAGTTTTGTATTTAATGTGCGTGAGTGTGTAATGTTAATGTGCGTGAGTCTTGTGTTTAGTGTGCCTGAGATTTGTACTTAATGTGCGTGAGTGTGTAATGTTAATGTGCTCCTGCTGCTCTTGTATATACGTCTTCGTCTTCTCTTCATCTCTTTTCCCTTAATTCTCTCTTCCTCTCTCTCTCTGTTCTTCTTCATATACGTCTTCGTCTTCTCTTCCTATTCCCTTAATCCTCTCTTCCCCTCTCTCTGTTCGTCATCATATACGTCTTCGTCTGACTTTTGTGTTTAATGTGTGTGAGTTTGTGGTCTGAATGTATTTTGTTTATAGCTTCCTGTGTGATTGTGTTAAAAGTCATGTACATTAAGCACAAACCTCTCGCACATTAAGCACAATATTCAGGCACATTGAGTACAAAACTCACGCACATTAACATTACACACTCACACACATTAAGTACAAATCTCAGGCACATTAAGCACAAGACTCACACACACTAAGTATAAAACTCACGCACATTAATCAACCGCACGGGAAACTACAAATGCACCTGATCCATTCCCTATATATGTGTGTGTGTTTAATATTCATGTTAAAATACTCCTTCTGTCTAATTTTATGTCTTTGACTTGATTAACGAGATTTTATTGAAATTATTTTAAATTTAATTTATTGTAACCACCATTCATTAGTGTACATTTGAGTAAATTTCACCTCACTTTTGTTCACAAATTATATATTGACTAAGACATACCATGTGTATTATAGACAGTAGTTTAAATTATGTATACACAGTTACCATATAATGTACTTTTAATTAACCATCGATTTGTAGGCAACATTGTGCAAACTTAGAGTAAATAATTTGTTACTGGTCGCCAAGTATCTTGTGCTCAAATGACATGTAGTGACTTTCCTATATGGAAGGTCATGAGATCGAGCTTCAGTGGAGGTGGGGGCGGTGTTGACCCCTATTGAGAAAGTCTAAATGAACATATACTACAATCTAAAAAATATTAAAAACGTATATTTTCTTTACACAAATCCTACATGTTCAGTCTAAAAATCACACTTCCTGCAAGATATGTCACACTCTCTCTCCTCCTCTCACTTTCACATACGATTCAATGCCTCAAAAATTTTCCCAAAAACAATAATGGGATGCCCTAAAAAACTATACTCTGTAATCTGTATGAAGTTGTGTCACGCGTATGATACCATGAAGACATGATTTGGGTACGGTCACGCACTTCAGTTGCGAGTGTGAATATGTCTGTAAGATCGTCAATCCGGATAGTGTATAAATGCTGTATTTCTATACATATATATATCTCCGTATTATATACTCCGTATGTATTTCCCACTGTACCTCGAAACTCACTCTCTCATTCACTCTCCTTTCAGTCAAAAAAGTGCTCAAAAACCCTATTCTCCTCTCTCTATCTTAATTATCCCCAGAAAAATCTGCTTCTTGCCAGATCCACGCTCTTAGGTGCGGGACTGCGGGGCTCAATTCCATGCGAAACCTTTGATCCGATTAGTGTAATTTCTCCCCCCTTATCGTTTTGTTTGGTGCGTTTCTGTAGGTTGGGAGAGTTGTGATTTTTTCTTTTTTTCACCTGAAATGTTCTTCGTATGCGCTTTAAATTCTTCACCGCACTTTATAAGATCATTGCTGGAACATTCCTTAATTATATCACGTTTATGGGTCTGTTCGTTTTTGTTCATTTTCCGGGATCTGTTTTGCTTAATTGCTTAGGAGCTTCTGAAAATGGTGGTGCTAAAATGCTGTTGCTGTTGCAGTTGCAGATTTTCTTTTTGTTTTTAATTTTTTTTTTCCTATTTTACCTTGAAGTGAAGATTATCAGCTCATATTGTATAGTCAGTGGGTATTTTGTTGTTGTTTTTTTATTTGGATGTTCAAGCTGAGTTACACTGTCAGGGTGGAAGGGAGCTTGCTAAAAAAGGGTTAAGAGTTCATTCTTATGTACATTATGTTGCTCTGTCGACTTGGGAAGTGAAATCTTGACAGCAGAATTTTTTACTCTACCATGCAATGCTATTAACTTCTTCTCACTCTGTTTTCTGCATTGATTCTTATCTTTGGTACATTGTTATTGTAATTTAAAATTTCTTGGAATTTTAATGAAGGGTATGGTTATCTACCTCTAATACTATGATTTCTTGTCTGGTAGTTTGATTTTATTATAAAATTGTATTTATGGCAGTTCAATGGACAACAGTTCTGGGGATGACACTGATATAAGTGATTCTGAGATAGAGGAATATGAGGAGAAGTCGTACAAAAAATTGAAAACTGGAAACCTCTCTGTTAGGGTATCAGATGAAGCCTACACTTGCCCGTATTGTCCAAAGAAAAGGAAGCGGGATTTCATGTACAATGAGCTCTTGCAACATGCAAGTGGAGTGGGCAGTTGTAACTCGAATAAGCGAACTGCAAAGGACAAGGCAAATCATCTTGGATTGGCAAAGTACTTGCAAGATGACACTGCAGCTGCTGGCCCATCAAAGGCTGAGGTTGAAGCAGATCCTTTAGCAGATTGTGACCATGATGAGATGTTTGTTTGGCCATGGATTGGAATTGTTGTGAACCTTCCAACTCAACTTAAGGAAGGACGTTATGTGGGGGAGAGTGGTTCTAAGTTGAGGGATCAATACATAAGGAGAGGTTTCAATCCAACAAGAGTGCGTCCCCTATGGAACTACCAAGGTCATTCAGGAACTGCACTTGTTGAGTTTAACAAAGATTGGGCTGGGTTCAGCAATGCTATGTCGTTTGAGAACGCTTATAAGGGTGAGCATCATGGCAAGAAGGACTGGAAAGCCAGTAATGGGAAAAAGTCTGATCTTTTTGCATGGGTGGCTCGGGCAGATGACTATCATGCAACTACCATAATTGGTGAAAATCTACGGAAAATTGGAGACCTTCGAACCATTTCTGATTTAATGGAGGAAGAAGCTCGGAAGGCAAGTAAGCTTGTGTCCAATTTGACAAATGTTATTGAAGAGAAAAATCTGCACTTGATAGAGATGGAGAACAAATGTGAGGAGACATCTGCGTCTTTGAGCATATTGATTGCGGAAAAGGATAAACTTCTTCAATCCTATAATGAAGGTGGGAATTTATGCAGACAGTCAGAACCAAGTTTTAATGATACTGTATTAACTAGCATGTTGATTAAATTTTTTTTTTCCCTTTCTGTTGTACATGAATAGAGATAAAAAAGATCCAGTCAAATGCACGTGATCATTTGCAGAGGATATTTAATGATCATGAGAAGCTTAAGTTGCAACTGGAAAATCAGAAGCAACAGCTTGAGGTCCGGGGTCAAGAGTTGGAGAAACGTGAGGCCCGAAATGAAAGTGAAAGGAAGAAACTCTCTGACGAGCTTGAAGAGGTACCACTTTTCTACTTGAGTTTTTCTATTCTGATGTCAGCAATAATGTTACAGTACAGTTTCCTCAGATTATTATTTTTCTAAGTAGACTATGATTAACCTTTATAATGGAGTTTCAACCTAATCAGTAGAAAAACTGCTATTATGACCCTATCTAAGTATCGGTTTGCAGTGTCAATATGTGGTATTTAGGTGAACATCAAATAGAGATACTTCTCTAGTTCTCTTGTGCTTATTGTTTATTTATTTATTTATTTTTTTGGGTTTCATTTTGTGAATGTTTTTTTTTATTTTTAATAAATTTGCATGCGCATGCACACATGCCATATAGTTAGTGCAAACAACTTATCCATTGATGCGCACACACATACGCTTAAAAATATGCTAGGGAGTGAACCAAATCAACCAATATTATGTTTCCTAGTAATTGTTAACTTGATTGTAGGGAGTTAATTGTCTTGGAACTGACAATTATTGTAGGCAATGTAATGCACATGAATGACATCTTATTAAAAAAAGATGAAAAGATATACAAGTCATGGATTTTTGAATCACTTGTAAGCTTAAAGAATACTTAAGTCTCTGAAATTAGTTTTTCTCGTCATTCTGGCTGCTGTTGCTCTTAAGCTTACACGTGGCTTAAATGGAAAAAATCAATCTAGAACTAGGTGCCATTGCAATGATAGCACACACCTTTCCCTAGGCAGAATAGTCAGGTTCAATGTCATTGCCTCCACCCGGCCCTCATTGTTTGTAACCAGAATGGAAAAATCAAGCTAAAGGATATTGTTGCAATGATGCCTTGGCTGCATCAGTTCTAGGTTTTGCAATTACGTGCCAATAATGATCTTACTTCAAAAGATAGTTGATGTAATTTCTTGTCTTCCAGAATGCTGTAAAAAACAGTTCACTTTCTGCTGCGGCTGAAGAGCAGAGAAAGGCTGATGAAAAAATGATGAAATTAGCAGAAGAACAGAAGGTTTGTTGTCATTTTTAATGTTCATTTTAATATTAAGCGGTAGTGTTAAGATAACCAAGTTTGCAGTATATATTACAGATCACGTGGGTTTCATTTTACTGATTTCAGAGGAATAAGGAAGACCTTCACAAAAGAATAATTAGGCTGGAGAAACAACTAGATGCAAAACAAGCAGCAGAACTGGAAATTGAGCAACTGAGAGGGGCATTAAATGTGATGAAGCATATGGGAGGAGATGAAGATAATCAAGAAATTCTTAATAAAGTGGATGGACTGCTCAAGAATCTAAGAGAAAAGGAAGGAGAGCTTGAAGATTTAGAAGCACTAAACCAAACACTAATTGTTAAGGAACGAAAGAGTAACGATGAATTACAGGAAGCTCGCAAAGAATTGGTTAATGTAAGTGCTTGCAATATTATATTTTACTTAACTTTCTACTTTAGTTATTTATCAAGTCTACAAACTGTTTCTATGGTCATGTCTCAAAACTATCTTAAGATAGGTGGCTAATGTTATTGCTCCCTAGTGAAACTGATCAAAGTTGAGTGCAACATACTGAGCCTCTTGTTATAAAGTATTTACATAGCATTAAATGCCTCACCTGTTACATGCTAATGCTGCCTGGGAATTGAGTCGCCAACTTTACTGATTTTGGCTGTGAACTCTTTATATTTGAAACTTGTAAACAAAACTTAAAGTGACATCTGGGCATCAACTCTTTATATTGTTATGGTAAGGTAGTGCATGCAATGCTCTCCCTTGGGTCTAACAATATTACTTCAAGGATAAACAAATGTTTTAAGTAATGAGTATCAGAACTAATTTTTAGTGAAAAAAATGGGGATTTCCTCTAACTTTGGGCACTAGAAGTTTTGGATTATGCATTTTTTATAAGCGTTGTACAAGGATCTGCGTAATTGCTTTGTAGGGCTTGAAAGAATTACCAAGAAGCGGTCCTATTGGTGTGAAGCGGATGGGAGAGCTTGACAGCAAACCATTCCAAGAAGCAATGAGTAAGAAGTATGGTGAGATGGATGCCGATGATAGGGCTTCTGAACTGTGTTCATTGTGGGAAGAGTACCTTAGAGATCCAGGATGGCATCCTATCAAAGTGGTAACTGTTGATGGTAAACCCAAGGTATGTATCCGGTATACTTTTAATTATAATTGATTATATATATAATGTCATTGTACGGAATATATTTTTTAGTGATGATAAAGAGTTTAGAAACATATGGAGTTCTAGTATAGTGTGTTGGTTTATTTAACTGTTGGCCAATGAATGAGCTCCGGAGGGAGTTTAAATTAAGAAAAGGTATGCTATATGAGTAGTGTCATATAAAAGAAAGTCTTTTCTACTTAGAGAAATATTTTCTCTAGATTGTTTCTTTTTTCCTTGGATTTATTGGGATATGGTATGTCTTTTTCAGTATGTAATAGATGATGAAGATGAAAAACTGAATGACCTGAAGAAAAATTATGGCGAGGAAGTGTGCAAGGCTGTCACAGACGCTTTGTTTGAGGTAAATGAATACAACCCAAGCGGAAGGTACATCACTTCAGAACTGTGGAACTATGCACAAGGCAGGAAAGCGGAAATGAAGGAGGGTGTTGAGGTACTGCTAACACTCTGGAAAAAGAAGAGAGCAGCTGAGGGGTATTGAACCAGCATGAGTATCTCACACCTGTATGGCTATGATTAAATATTCAGAAGAACTAGATCTAATGCAATTAACCATCTTCCATGGATTGTTGGATGAATAAGATTTGCTTTGTAGAACTGACGGATCTTTGTCCGGTTGTTGAAAACTCTTGTAATTAACCATCTTCCATGGATTGTTGTATGATGGATTGTGTAAGGCATGGAAGCAAGTCTAGATTAAACTTGTTCCCCTATTTGCTATTGCATTCCCTGCATGGCTCTCCATGACACTCTTTACACCCACGTGTCCAAATAATTACATTGTGTGTTATATGAAGTTTCAACTAGTTGGGTTCTGGTTCTTTTATCTGAGCAGAAGTGTCATTTTCTCTAGGTGGTGGGTTTCTCAGAACAGTAAAAGTTCTAAACATTCAACAGAAATGGGCATAGAAGAAGATGATGAGAAGCTCAGGGAGCCAAGAGCTGAAAGGGTGAAAGGGCATTTGAAACTGTGGTCAAAGCATTGATGGATTTGGATGAGAATCATGCTTCATCTTGTTGGCAAAAATTTAACACGTAATCTGTTGGTATGAGAATTATATTCTATCTACTCGATCGGTGATGAGAATCATATTCTATCTACTCGATAAGTATGAGAATCATATTCTATCTACTCGATCGCCAGGCAGAAAGTAAATTTTAGAAATTATGAAATGGGAAACTTAGAGAATTTGAATACTAATAAAAAAAAAATGCATTTGATGGTATTAAAGTAAGCTAGCTGCGGGCTGCATATTATTGCAGTCACTTCAAAGCATTTACAGATCAGAATACATCACTCTGGGTCAAAAGTTTTTAGAGACAAACACAATACAAACTTCCCAAAATTTCTCCTATCCCCATTTCCCCCCTCCTTTTACCACTCCATTTCACTCTTACCCAAAAATAAATAAAAAATACACAAGAATATATAATGGCAAACTGGCCAAAAGCTCTTTTTTAAAAATCTTTGAATTATGTATATTACACTTTAAAATTCTTTCCAACAAAAGTTTGACCAAATTGCCAGTTGGAGGGGGCAATGTTCCATGACGTAGAGGTACGATGATCGCTGGCTTTGACTCTGAGAGAGAGTGATTGACCGACCAAAACAGCACTACTTTCCCAATTTTGCCCCCAGTTACGGCTAAGGGGCATCCAGTTAGTTTTTGACCCTTTTATCCACACCTTAACGATGTCCCCAGCACCTGCCACGTTGGTCACCAACACTAGGTTGAAGAAACGGTGACCATTGATGGTGAATCTAATCCCTCCTGGCTTACGACAAGGCACCCTGTACAATTTTGTAAATTTAGTAAGGTAAAATTACAATTATACAAGCTAAGTGCTTGCACAGATAATTCTGTTGGTTTTTAAGTAGTAGATTGTGGACACATACAATATCGAATCCAGACATCTGCAGTATGAAAGTTACATCTAATGTGGTGAGTTCTTTTTTAGCCGCACTTAATGAGTTGCTGAGTTATTCCTACACTATCCTATTGACTCTAGGGGGAAGGAAATTTAGCATTTGTGGGCAAGTATACAAGCTAAGGGTATTATCATATTCAAGTAAGAGCATACTTCAAATGCATTATATTATCTTACCGGCGATGGGTGACGGGAACAATGCCGGCGCGGTATTGGGCGATCTTAAGGAACATGGGCATGGCTAGGTCGAAGTGAGGGCGGGGAGGGTTGCACCAGCCGCCATTGTCGTTGGGCAAGGCGTAGTTGGGCGGGCAGAAGTTGGTGGCGGTGATGAAAATGGAGGGGCGGCCGCCGTAGCAAGACCGGTCCTGGTCACACTTGATCTCGAAGCACGCGCCGCAGCTCAGCCCGCTGTTAAACAGCGCCGTGCTCAGCGCCGCCGTGTTCACTCCGTACCCCTGGCTGTACAAGTTCCCGTACCCGCACGCGCCGCCCATTGTCCCGGAGGCATCGCTCCCGCCGTAGAACGTCGCATGGGCGGATTCCCAGTTACTACCCTGGTAAACGCCGGGGATTCTCGCTTCGGAAACGGCAAAAACAATGGCTAAAAGCGAGAAAGAAAGAAGACCCACGGCGGCAGCCATTGTTGTGGGAATGTGGTGCTCCAATTCTTGGGTTGACTGGTTAGGTTTTGAAGGTGAGGATGAAGGTATAGCAATGGCGGTATTTATGGAGGGAGAAGAGAAATGATGATTAGATGGGCTCCTTAATTTATGGCTGTTTAATTCCTTAATCAAAGCAGGGAAAAACGCGACATAATTCAACGAGAATGGTTGGACCTAATTGTCCTTGGAGTGGGAAAGTAATTAAGGATTGGATTGGAGAGTGAAATTTGGATTGAAAAAGGTAAGGGATAGATAGATTGATAGGGCCACCATATATGCTTGAGATATGATATGATATGATATGGCTTTGCTTCAAGTGCAAGAAGTGGAATCCAAGAATATGGTGGTTTTAGTGTGTAACACCACTTAATTAGATTGAAAATAGTAAGGATTCTTTGAGTATGTAATACTTTTTTCATGTATTAGTTTACCATTTGGGCTTATAAGTACGAAATCAATCTTTATCTAAGAAGTCAATCCTTTACTAGAGGTCAAGCTTAACAATTCAATCATCATAAATCAGTCAAGGTTTGCATTTAGGCGGGTGACAACTAACAACAACCACAATCAATCAAGGTTTGCATTTAAGCTTGTAGGTCATCATTTCTCTAGTTTATTGTGCGGATTCCACCTGTATAAAAAATTTAGACCACCCGCAGTAAACCAATCAAGGTTTGTATTTAGACTCGTAAATCATCATTTCTCTACTTTGTCACACTATGCGGACTCTAACTATATTAACATGTCAGGCCAAATTGCGACAACTAATAGGGCAAAGAGGAATTGGTCTTAACCTACCACTCATAGATGCATGCAATTTTGCCTTTGTGTAAGTCACAATTATTATTGTTGGACGCAAACCGCTGAAAAAGTAAACTGCATTAGGAAGATTCCATATAATGACATGGGTTCAACTAAGAAAAAATTGATAAAAATTAAACAGATCCCGTACAATAAAATTGACCAAAAAATATTAACAAGAATCAAACATGTATTCTCCTTATAAAAATCATGCTTCATCCGGACTACCTCTTTCGGGACAGATCACAACTATTATTCACACTACTAGTTGCGTGCTACGGCGACGACGAGCTGTATATGATTCACCCGCCATATTTGAATTTGTTTGCGACGAAAAAAAAAAACAATAAAGACCGTCGGCCCACCACCATCATCATCCTCCGCATTCATCGCTCCACCGATTGCGCCGCCGTACGTGATACGTCCGACGAGCTGAGTCAAAAGGTTCGTTCCGACTTTCCCTCTGCCACGCTAGCTGTTACCTGTCGTTTTCTTGAATTTCCGACCATTTTCTACTCTCAGTAATCAGTATTATATTAAGCGTACTGAGTATTAGGAAGTACGAAAGAAACATTCGGCTCTCGATCCCATGAAAAAATAATTACGATGAAACGTTATCGTCAAATAGTGAACGTCCTTTGGACAACCGACTGGCAAAAAAGTCAAAAAAGCGAAAATTATGCACTTTCACCGTTTCACGTCAATCAGTGATACGGAGGAGGATTGTAAATATTTTGACCGTAAAACTGTTAAAATTGTGCATGCAAAATATTATAGTGAAGCAATTAGACGCTCCAATTTAATTTTTTTTTTCAATTAGACCTTTAAATTTATTAAAATTATGTAATTAATTCATTTAACCTATAATAGCATGTTACTCCAAAGTCACATGCCACGCAAGATGTCATGTAGATTAATATTTTTTAGAAATTATATTTTTATACATAGTAACAATTAAAATAATTATATTAATAAAAAAAATACTCACAACAATCTGCCATGGTAGTCAAGTAGTTGCGGGAAAGTTTAAAAATTTAGTTTTTTTTAAAAAAAAAAAAAAAAAATTCTGAATAGAATTTCATGTAATATAAGATGGCAAGATGCTATGTAAGCAAAGTTGATCGGTTACCTTTAAGTAACATGTTAAATAAGTTAAATGCACAATTTTAATAAGTTTAAGAGTTCAATTTTGGTTCTATGATTACAGGGGCTTTGTTAATTTCAGCATTTGACTTTCAAAAGTTTCAACTTAGTACCTTGACTATGTAAGTTTTATCAATTTTGGTTACTCCGGTCAAATTGCCGGCCAAATTTCGCCAGAGAATTTTAACAGTTAAAATAATGAGGGTATTTTAGTCATTTCACACCTCTTTCCTTTTTCTCCGGCGAATTCATCTTTTCCGGTGAATCTGAGGATGAGGTGCGCTGCGATGATTTCAACATTATCGAAAAAGAGAAGTATTTATTCAACATTATCCAAAAAGAGAATTATTTATTCAACATCAATTTTAGCATAATGTTGATATAGAGAAGTTTTAGAATAAATAGGCACCATCATCAGTTTTAGGATTTCCCTTTCTTCTTCGAGCAAGCCTTTTTTTGACCGGAAAAGCTTTCAACCGAAATTTTGGCAGGAGGTGCGCTAGACGAGCACAAAGAAAAGTGCAGTTCAGAGATTTCTAGGTCTGCCGATATCTCAAGCTCCCCTTACAAAAACGGTCAAATGTTTTCAACCAAAATTTTGGCCATATGAACCCTAATAAATCACCAGCAACGGTTTGGACGAATGAGTTTAAGTATGCTTTGGAAGGTGTGCTGATGCGACGGATTCGTCGGAAAAAATGAATTTGCCAGAGAAGAAGAAAGAGATGTGAAATGACTAAAATACCCTCATTATTTTAACTGTTAAAATTTTCCGGCGAAATTTGGTCGGCAATTTGACCGGGTGACCAAAATTGCATAGTCAAGGTACTAAATTGACACTTTTGAAAGTCAGGTGCTGAAATTAACAAAGCCCCTATAGTCATATGATCAAAATTGAAATTTTCTCTCTCTCTATTTCCTTTTTTTTTTTTTTTTTAGTTTGAGATAAGCGTCTAATTTCACTTTAAAATATAGTTAGAGGGCGTATTTAACACTTATTCTTAACTAATTTCAACATAATTGTAACAAAATTTAGGGACGAAAAATTTGTTCTTATTATACTTAATTATAATAGTGAAGTGATGAGTTTATAGAAGGTAAATTGGTAGGAATAAAGTTAATGTTATATATAAATACTTGGTAGGAATAGAAGATAAATGACTTGTTATTTTCGAAAGGGGACAGCGGCATAGAGCATAACCACTCTCCACTTACCTTATAACTAACTCACCAACGTGCACAAGGATATAAAATATTAGTTATTTGACTACTCAACATGCAATCAAATGTTACTTAAGTTTTCGTTGTATTATATCTTAAATCCTATAAATTCGTTCTCAAACTCATAAAAAGGTAAATCAAATATGATGTCACAAATACTTGAATATATGATTGAGTTACAAAATTCGAACTCTTATTCCCATTCCCCCCTCATTTTACCACTCTATTCCAATCTTATCCAAAAAAAACAAAAACGCAAGAATATATAATGGCAAAGTGGTGAATAGCCCTTTTCTTTTTTAATCTTTCGAATTATATATATAATTAGAACATGAAATTCTTCCGGACAAAATTAAAGTTTGACCAAATTATCGGTTGGACGGGGCAATGTTCCATGACGTAGAAGTACGATGGTCGTTGGCTTTGACCCTTAAAGAGACTGACTGACCAACCAAAACAACACTGCTTTCCCAATTTTGTTGCAGCTAAGGGGCATTCAGTTAGTGTTTGAGCATTTGATCCACACCTCCACAATGTCCCATGCACCTGCAACGTTGGTCACCAACACCAATTTGAAAAAATGGTGACTGTCATATCATTAACTCGTAAGTTGTCAACTCCATAAGGACACCTTGCGTAAGGAGAATAGCCGTAGAATCTCTGCGTTGCACATGGCAAGCATGTCGAAAGCCTATCATGTGGTCTTCTCCTCTCCTATACAAGGTGTATTAAATGCGTTTTATGGAGGACCTTTTTTCTGATCGAATTTTCTAGAGACTTGGGGTCGGAACAACCCGACTTGATTTAATTCACTCACAAACAAGCGATACACATTATCCAGATTACTTGATACGTGCCAATAATGTATATTGATTATCATTAATCACATAATGTCAAACATTATCATATTTTTAAAAAGAATATTTCTATAGGGATCGATTCACCGTTTTACCTTGTATATATAGCAACATTGCACCATTACGCCACACAACATAATTGTAATGGTGTAATTGAACACCATCGATCGTTTGTGGTAGTTAATTAACCGGCGGTCGGATGCCCGCATGTCGGGGAGACCATTCGCGAAATCATGTCTTCTCTTTTTGAAATATTCCGAATCTTTTTGTTGGCTTTACGTAATCCTCACTACAACAACTTCTTTGTTTCCTTCACAAGCAATTGCATGTAGTATATATTCCTTTAACTTTCTTTTATAATATACCTGCTACTTTTTTTTTTAAAAAAAAATTATTTAAAGTAAAATAGGAGGGAAAACCCGATACTAGTAAGAGATTCTTGCACTATTGGAGGAGTCTCATTCCAATCAGTCCACTTATTAACTGAATGACAGGCCAGCTTAGCAAGACCATCAGTAATCTCATTTTGTTCCATGTAGGTGTGTTTAATAGTCACCTTCCAAGGTTTTTCCATCTACTCCAGACATTCTTGTGTAATGTCTCTCAAAGGTACCAAAGGTTGTTTCGATCCAGGCCCTCGATCTAACCGACTATTTCCTTGGATTCCGTTTGAATCTCCATGCTCCGAATTTCTTTCTTCCATGCCCATTGAAGTGCAAAAGATATGCAAATAAGTGCAAGTGTATCTAGTACAATATCTCACCACAACTTTTGGTTGTTAATTAACGTAGAACGAAGCACGCATGTGTCTAGGAATGATTCCCAGGCAATTACGAACATCTGCATTCCTTAATTTATGTTGTTTTATATGCTGCTTCATCTGATCACTCACTTTAAGTTTGTTCAGAAGTTACCTTTTTTTGTTTTTGTTTTTGTTTTTGTGGGGGGGGGGGGGGGGGGGTTCATTCTTTATGTGTTTTTGCTTTGAATATTAACTAACATAACTACCTTCTAGAA